TGGCCGCTTCGCTCGAAGAAGGATCTAAAGTACATACACCCCATTCCAATTCAAGGAGCTACCGTTTCTTGTACGTCGTCTTATGGGACGAGTTCCATTTTAAAAATTCTCATCGCTACACTCGACACTTTAAACGACTCCCATGGAAACATCCAAGCAGCATTTCTCGTTTAAACATGTTGATTAATAATTTAGGAATCGTTTAAAACGCATCGAAGAAACCCACGAAACTGACACGTTTATTTACGCTACTCGATTTAACGTGGAACAAGGGGCGGTTCGTCCAATTTACTTGCATCAAGATAAAAGTAGAATGCCGGTGATTACCGCAATGAATTTATTTATAGCGTGCCGTCTTTGGAAGCTTCGAACTCCCAGTTTTCAAGTAAGTTGCGTTTTACTTATAAATTGTTACAAATTGTTAATATTCCTATTATTTTTATACATCTTCAGCACAATTTATTCTATGATAAGTCCCTTATAGTTATCGAAGACGATCGCCAACATTTCCACGTGCAAACAGAAACATCGTTTAATACGTGCCAATAAAAATCCAATTTTCCCTAAACGAAGGACGTCGAGGACGAATAATTCGATAAACTCGTGTACGTCGAGGAAAATCGTTTTTTCGCATTGTCGAAAAACGTTAACGAATCACTCGTGGAAGTATTTCGCGCGGGATTATAGATCGAGCGAATAATTTGTCGACAAAAAAAATGACATCGTATATCTGTCGACTCGGATTATGCGTTACGAGGTGGCCAGATATTTGATTTGTAATTTATACGACGAACAACGGCTTACGAGGGAACTATCCAATGCCAGTTAATCTGAACTAATGGGTGTATCGATACTCCAGGATGTTTTTACATCTTGACCGCGCACGTGTAAACGTTGAACTCGCACTGCTTTCAAATATATCGATATCCAGAAAATTTATGTCGTATAGCCATCTGACTCATAACTTTCTAATAATACCTCAAGCGTGAATGATTCGAGGTGTTAGTAAACGGCAAAGTGACATTGCTACTTGGTACAGTCGAAGGAACAAGAAACTACGTACGCGTGTGTATACATTCGCGAAGAGGCATGTCGCTTAACATTCCTTGGGTCACGAAGAGGGATAAATTCGTTGAACGATTTTTCCGCGTTAACTCAACTAACGTAATACGAATACAATGATCCCTGGAATCCTTTTTGTCCCCCTCCACCTTTCGGAGGGTTGAAAACAAAGCGGTACAGATACCAAGGGACCCGAAACGTCTTTTGTTTCGAAAGTTACGAGATCCGCGAAGCATTCGATTCTAAACAATTGCTCGCAAGAGAAAACCTTTATAAATGGCTCGAGAAAAATGGACCACGGGAATAGTTTCAAGAGACCACTCGTCCGAATATTGAAGCGTTTCTCAAACTAGGATCGTGAAGGGTATGTTCGTGCATTCGGACATTTTCAACTCAAAACTTGTATGAAAACGCGAAGAAGAAAAGTGAAATTCGTGAAATACTGGAAAATTGTATTCGGCGTTTGACGAGCGTCCGGTTCGAACTTTAGCAGAATCTGGATGCAAGCTTTCGAAAACGAACGAGGGGAGTTTGCGAAGAACGCTGTACAAAAAATTACTCTCATTGTTCCGTTATACGGCTCCAACAACGAAGCGAAAACTTTTGTTTCTTGGAAAATTATAGTTGCATTGCCTCGAATACGAACTTGCCGAAGTAACTTCCAAGATTCGACGTAATTAGTTGTATACTCCGGCAAGAGAGTCGCGGCAGTTGTTAAAGCGTGCAATCGTTTCGAATTGAATAGAAACGATCAAAGTCGCGGTAGGTCAAGTGGAGGGTTTTCACCAACGACCGAACTCTCGTTCTATGCAAGGGGTCGGCAAACTTTCATCGAGAAAGACCAAATAGTAACAATTTTGGCCTTTGCGGGCGGGGAAGTAATATCGAGAAAAAGGTAATATCTACATGTATACTCGTAACGGCGAGGACTACATTTCGTTACCAGCGTACATTGCATTGAAGTTTGACATTCTCATGATTTGGAACCACTGCGGGACGCGAATGGATGGTACTTGAAAATGTTCAGCCAAGGATTACGTTAGGATTTTCGAAAAGAACGTAGCAAAGAGTAATGGTAATGGAAGAGTAATAAAAAGAAATGGATATATTTGATAGTAATGAAATGACCTTGACTTTCCGGCATTTCCGGGCGGCGATGGATCTTGATTGCCTTCTGAGAGCCTCCAGAGGAAACGGCTTACCACGGGATCCGTTCTGGTAGACTCCACCACGGCACTACTTCTATACTTGACACTTGGGGTTCACCACGCGATCGAGGCAAGTGTATCGCCGTTCGACGCGGAAGAACCGCGCGGTCACGCGACGCCTAGATCAGCGGCCGTCGCCAGGGATACGCGGGGCGTAAATTTCTCCGAATGAGAATCCGGAAAGTCCGTGCACGTGCGCGAGACGTTCGACACAGAAACTAAGAGGCATTCGAGAGATTGTTGGTGGTGGGTAAACGACACCGGAAGTGATGCCGACACAGGTAACGTTAAAAGAGAATCGAAAAATGTCGACAACCCCCTCGGAAGAATCGTTCGCGGCGCGGTCTGGGCGGTGACTGAGCGGACCGAGCCGTCTCGACGCACGGCATCTCTCCCACCCCCTTTCTCTCTATTTCGTTCTCTCTCCTACTCTCCGCATCCTGCAAGCCTGACGAATACCCACTTTTCGGTTCCTCTCCGTATCCGCCCTCTGCCTTTACCGCGTGACATTTAACTCTGTTACTATTTACTTCCTCACGGACGCGTTAAACACGCCGTCAAACTATCGTACTTCCACGATGCGTGTTTTCGCGTAACTCGTGAGTGATAAGCGGGACTGACTCGAAGCTCGAGTTAACGTTCGCTCAAAAGGAATTACGGTAAAAATTCTTTACTCTGACGCCGACGCTTGGTTTACGAGAAAATCGACGTCGATGATACGTGGCATATGTTTGCAATGCACTAATGGAACACACGTCGATAAGATTCTAACTTTGGATGCCTAAAATGCTAATTACTCTTCTCTTCCTCGCAATTACAGACAAGTTGGTAACCAAGTCTCGATCATTTGTTACGTAATACCTATTTATTATGCTTCGACGATATTTAAAGTTTTTTTTTTTATCCCACTCCGAAGTTATATCTAGATTACGTCATATGCAACCACTTAACTTACCCGGAACCGAGTTAAATCAAGATTCCATCTAATATGCATGGATCACCGTACAACTCTAGAAACATCGTGGAAACACTTTAGTTGAAAATACTAGGTACGAAAATAGGGAAGAATCGATTCCAAGCAAATGCTGTTGGTACGTAGTAAATCGGGCGTAGTAAAGTTTTCTCACTGTTCCCATTGATTTGTGAATGACGCATACAAAAGTAAACAATTGTTTATCCGTTGAAATCCGAACGAATCTTTTTCAATAATTTAATCATTCCTAGTATAATAGTATCGGCCTTTCGACTCTATCTCAACTCCGATCGTCGTCTGAATTAGAAAGTTTTATAGAAACCGTGCAGTTAATCTGCCGCTTACGTTTTTACGAACAAGTTTGTTTCACTCCCGAAAGGGTTTCCATGTTTTCGAAAGTTCTCCCTCTAATTTCGCTATGCTCGAAAGAAGATCCAATGTTGGCCGCGCTTCCCAATTCGCAGTTCTTTAATTGTATCCAATTATTTTCATGAAATCGTGGTTAATATGCGCTCTCTCCGCGACGTTTTTAATTTAATCAATCCGATACTGTCGTGCCTAAGTAAATTATGCGCATGCATATTAAACGACCGATTTTTAAGATCGACTCATCTTTTATTCTTTGCGTCGCAACTAATTGTCCTTGGAAAATGGAAATTCGAGGGCGCAATTCCCTTTCGGGAGCCCGATCGTTGAACATCAGGCTGCGGTCGCGGAGTTTCCTCGTTGAAACTTGAGTACTCGACACCAGTTTGGTTAAGGACGCGCAGTTAGGCGGCGAGACGTTTTTAATCGTCCATCGCCGATTTTAATCATCGTTTCCCCTCACAAGCTCGACTTTTTTTCTGGCCATCGAACTTTTCTCGCACCATTCAAGATTTCTTTGTCGAATTGCAAATACTAAGAAAACAGGGGCTTGTCTAAGTATAAAATGTACTACATCAGTTCATATAAATTTGTTGACCTTTAAATGCGCTCTGAGAATATGAAGCCTTGATGTACGTACCCCTTCTACGTGAACCTTGTTATGGTGCTAAAAACCGATAAAAGGTTCCACATTGCCAATAGTAATAAACTTTGCGATTCCGTCAATTCCAATTCCACTGACAAGAAGAGAAAAGCTAAATCGAGAAATAAATTTCTCAGTGGCAAACGAACAAAAATAGACGCAACGACCTAACGCCTGCGTTACCGTGCTGCCCGCGAGGTTGACTTACATCGCACGTTAACGTTTCACGATTACGTAACAATTTTTTCGTATACTCTGATGGTCAGACATGATTTAATTAAAATATACTTAAAATTTGATGTATCACAAAGCTCTTTAATAGCATTGTTGTGATCAATTGTCAAGCTCGTAGACTTAATTGCATCTTTTCATTTTTTTCAAGCGGCTATTCTAACAAGTACTCCTTCATTGTTTCCTTTATTTTCTTCACAGATCCTATTATTTACGAGGTAAACCTTATCGTGGATGTTATAAAGACCGCGAAAACATGTATTACACGTGTCACTTTTTTCACTATAATTCTGTCAATTATAATATATTCTCATAGCATTTTAACACGTTGTTATCGCAATGACTTGTACTTGACGTAAATTATTGCAAAATTTTAAACTTTTTTATACGTATTTCGTGTCATTTCCGCCAAATTGTTTGTTCGCAATTGAAATTAATTTCGATTTGAACTACGCTTGCGCTATTGTGATCGTAGTGACATCTAGTTTCCTCGTTTATAACTATAGATGGTAACTTGTTATTTTCTGATAACAATGATAACATATTAACATATAGAACTAAGCAAAACGTGTAATTTTACTGTATTACGTGCAAGTTTGCAAATTATCTACGTTTAATTATTTGCTCTACAAGGATAAGTGTAATACGAAATGGCATCCAGTTCTTCCAATAACGATGGTAAGAGAGTTTAATTGATATTAAGGTTAAAATTTAGTTTTATGTGATTTAAAAAATTTGGAATATTTCATGCAAGGTTTAGTTAAGAAATTGTGCCCCTACATGGAAAAATGTTATCGAAAAAATCCAATTCATTTCAAAGAAATGTCACATCCTCATTGTGAGTAGTAACTATGTATTTGTTTTCAACTCTCTAATAAGTATATCCACATAGTAAACATCTTTCGTTTTAGTGGAAAAAATTGTAGTAAATTATTTAGAAACAAAGATACCAGATGATCTTGATTTTGAATGCTCCGACCGATCGCTTTTAAAGGATCAGTTAAATGTTTTGCGAATGGTAATGATCAAAGAGAGAAATAGCGGTACAAGCAGTTTGTCAACTGTGGCAAAAGTTCCAGATTCAGAAGTTGTTGTTACATATTGTAGCATTTTGAGTAAAGATAATGTTGTCACACAGAATTTAAAAGATAAAGTAGAAAGACATAAGCAAATAATGACTGAAAGAAGGGAGAATAAGTTGAAGGGAATGGATGAACAAGCAGAAGCGCTTTCTAGATGTTCTACCAGTAACGTTAAAAATAACATAGACAACAGTAAAGTTTATACGATGAGGCAGGAACTCGATAGTCTCAAAATAACAGAGGGAGGAATGGGAGGGGATAATTCTCTACAAGGAACAAAAAGAAATAATAGTTTTAATACTGATGAAAGCGAAAGAAAAAGATCAAAGTCGAGTAATAGCGAATATCGTGACAATGTTAAAGAATCTACACAAAGTACAGATATAAATTCAAGTAGTGGCCAGAGTTCTAGTTCATCCAAGCAATCTTTGATTGAAATTTTCCAATCGTGTAAGTCTGCAAAGGCTAAAGATGAAATCAGACATAAAGTTATTAATATGATGAAACAACAAGGGCTTCGTGTATCTGTGGTTGAACCAGGATACTTTGACATAAAATATGCTCTTTCAGCACCGTATCACATATTTTTTACAAGAATTCAAAAGTCAAAAGCAACATACGATCAACAGTATTCCATAACGTTTCCTGAAATTTTAGACAGAAGTTTGGGAGAAATTGTATCTAGTTTGCAAATAAATTTTATGGTCGATGTTGGCTGGTTGTGCCTACAGTATTTGTTGGCTGGCCAATCTACAGATATGATGATTTTATTTGGAGAAAGGGTAGATACAGACAAAGTAGGCTTAAACATTACCATGATACCTGTAGAAATGCCAACAAGGTTTGGTTGTCATCATACCAAAGTCATGATTCTAAAATACAAAGACGATGGCATACGAGTCGTTGTGTCTACCGCGAATTTATATATGGATGATTGGGAGAATAGAACGCAAGGGTTGGTGAAATAATTTTAAAATTGATTTTGCATTTGCTTGTTACAAAGAAACAACCTTAACGCGTATACCGTTGATTGCATTTTGTCCTGATCAGACTTTGGATATCGCCGCACCTTCCACCGCTTCCAGAGTCGGCAAATACCACCGATGGAGAATCACCTACAGGTTTCAAAAAGGATTTAGAACGTTATTTATCTAAATACAGACAACCAGTTTTAACAGAATGGATCTGTGCTATCCGAAGAGCAGATTTTTCAGCGGTAAACGTATTCTTCCTAGCTTCGGTTCCTGGTAGTCATAAAGATATGGATTACAATTCTTGGGGTCACAGAAAATTAGCTACTATCCTTTCTAAACATGCCACGCTACCTCCAGATGCGCCACAATGGCCAATCATTGCTCAGAGTTCCAGTATCGGTAGCTTAGGTCCAAACTATGAGAGTTGGCTTCTGAAAGAAATCGTACCTTCTATGTCAAGAGAGACGACATCGGGACTGAAGAGTCATCCGAACTTCCAATTCATTTACCCTTCTATAAACAATTACAAACAAAGTTTCGATTGTCAGGTTGGATCTTGTTGTTTACCTTACAGCCTCCAAACCCATTCTAAACAAGAATGGGTTGAATCTTATTTATAGTAAGTCTTCGTCATTTAAACATTTGTATTATACTAATGCTTGATGACGTTTAGGTGGCTATTTTTTTAAACATTTCATGAATTTTCTAGTCAGTGGAAGGCTACGCACTCGGCAAGAGATAAAGCGATGCCTCATATTAAATCTTATACAAGATTGTCGCCCGACTTTAAGAGAATCCCTTGGTTCGTTCTCACCAGTGCCAATTTAAGCAAAGCTGCGTGGGGAACGGCTAGGAATTCGCATTGTATTATGAGTTACGAAGCCGGTGTTATATTTATTCCTAAGTTTATTGTATGTAAAAGCACCGTTATTCAACATTAACATCACCTAGATGAAAGTATTCAAATATATCCATTCATTTTGTAGATCAAGGGATCAACGACATTTCCGATTAAAGAAGAAGAAGCGGGAGTACCAGTCTTTCCCATTCCATACGATATACCTCTAACCAAATACGAGCCTGGAGACAAGCCTTTTGTCATGGATATCTTCGACGGTCGTGATTAAGTGTCCAGTATTTGATAACTTACAAAGTACTGAACTTATATCCAAGTATTTGTGTATATTTTTAAAGATGTAATGTACAAGAGAACTTTTATAATAAATAACATAGTAATTCCTCTTATAGTATTTTGACTTATTAAATGTTCTAAGAAAAATCTTAATCGCATTGCTAGGTCGATCGTTATCTGTTTCGCCATTACTAAATTCAGAAAATGAAACGTTTGGTGTCTGTTCGTAGACGATGTTTACGACATCGCAAATTCTCACAATGCGCGTGACTTCTTTTCTCGAGTTGTTTCTGTACCGATTTCGTGGTCGCGCTCGTTCGTGGGCCATACGAACACGTTTTCCATAAAACATCAGTAGGAAAGCGTTTCCTGGTCAGAATCTTTCAGTCGCGGCGTCGTATCGTTAGTGCATGCCTCGCCTTCAAACAACGTTTAACGAAGCTATGCTTGATCTTTTCTCTACGCAGCAATTACACACAGTATACTCACGTATGATTTGCAAGATGAACCACGCACAATCCAGACTACCGGTTTATAGCTACCCTTGAAACGAATATGGACGAAGGATCAGCAGAGGGACAATATTTTCGCCGATCGCGAGGTGTGCCATTCAACGACTGTCCAAACAAGTAAGACCGGTATCTATGCAAATTTGCGATAAGAACCGCTCCTTTTGTAAGCTCGCAACGTCTTTTCCGTGTCATTTTGAGAATTGCCGTATCATTCTGAAACAATTAAATATGTAGTACAGTCAAATTTTTCTTCGATTCGTTTCTATTAGGGAAACTGCATGCCTCGCAAACCGTTAAGGTACTTGTCCGTTTGTACTTGTCTTGTCTCGTATCTAAGTTTCCTCGTCAAAAATTACATAACAATGTAAACATTGCTTTCGGTCCTCAGTAAACAAACGTGACCGCTTTCAAGAAACCATTTCGCTGGTGTTTCGGGCAACGCCTTGTTATGACAAATTTGTACATACGCATCATCGACAGTGCCAATATATTGTTTTGGTTTTGCGTCAGTATTTGCTCTTTAACGTCCTATGGCAATAAAGTAACGTTTTATTAATAAATATCGAGGAAGCCTACGTTCAATTATTTTTATAAATAATCTGCGTAATATTCTACCGAGTGTGTTAGTAAACGTCACATGTTTCATGGATCAACGCGCGAAACCAGAGAAGGACAAGGACGGTAATTTCCAATTCCTTTTTGTATCTTTAATTCGTGCAACTTTCACTTTTGCACTGAAAAGTAAATATTACGTTGCTATTACTTTCTCGACCAAGGGAGAAACTACCCCTTATATTTATATCGAAGTCACATATTTCACTTGTAAATATTTTTTAAACTACCGACAAATATCTTTAGCTACCAACACCGACAACACGCGGAAAGCCAATTACCTTTTATCAATATTTTTCATTTAATTAAAATACATAATCTTGTACGTCACTTTCACAGTGAATGGCACGTACGTATAGGTATCATCAAAAGGTGTTACGTAATTAGATGAGCGTATTAGCAAATTAATGACTAACTATTAACAATGACCATACATACATATATAAAATTGTATTAAAAAGAAACAATTCTTAGATCACATTTGCGTAACAGATTCGAGTAATCGCTAACATTCACAGTCGATAAAGTCGATAGAAAGAGTTGTTCTGATCATCATTCATTTTGTTTTAGTAGTTTTTGCAATACCGTTGCCTGCGAACAACGACAGAGTTCGGTTTTCCATTAAACCAAACGGCAAGGATTCTGACGTCAACGCGCAATGAGGCTTCGTCTCCCCCCAGGAGAGCCGGCTTCATGGTTGGATGTCCTCGGCGCAGCTGCGACTTCTGAAAAGGGACGTCCCGGCGCGGCGCCCCTGACGCCGACGGCGACGACGAACCCGGGAAGACGTCGATCACCAGTCTGTGAGATGTCGTCGACACGAACGGACACTTTGTAGCCGCTCTCGTCGTCCACGCGTTTCCGTGTTTGTGTTTCGTTGTGTGAAGTTCGTGGAGAATGTGCGGATAGCGGATACGTGCCGTGAACAGTCACCGCAGACAGGGTCGCGCGTCCTCGGCCTTTCCGGTTGGTAAGCTATCGACAGGCGTTTGCGACCATTGATTCGCGAACAACCTCTGCTAAGAGCTTAAAGAGCGATCAGAACGATAAGAAGATCACAAGATAAGAAACGATAGTCTTAAATCGAGAAAGAGCATCGGCATACTGGCGCATTGCGAACCTTCAGACAGAACACCGCAGTCTCGGAGCGACATTCTCGTACAACACCACGAACAAGGAACGTGATTCGCTTGACAATCGTCGAAACTCCTAAAGGGGAAAGTATCGAAAGTAGGTTTCCCTCGAAATTTTGGATCGTCGCGTTATCGAATCGCCTGATTGGACATGGGCAAATTTCTTATCTAGATGCAAATTTTACATGACAGATATAGTAGACGTCATTTTTATTGATTTTCAAGCAATACAGACGTATAGATTTATTTTTCAGCGTTTCGATATAGTAAATTAAAATTCGAGCTGTAGAATGAAATCATTATAGTTATTCAAATATAAATTGCGAATGACGAATAAACGATAAACGATTTTGTATACATTATTTCTTTAATAAAAGTAACGATCTCCAACTCGTACGACCAAAATGAATTTTACATGAAAAAAATAGTAATTTATTTCTATAACAATGTTTCTATCCGTTATCTATTATCGAGATTAAACTCTGCCTATCTTTGTCGTCGTATCGCACCCGTGCCACGGTTCTGTTCCAACAAATATTCTCGGAAGAGTTTCCCATCGTATTCCCCTGCTTCCTGTCGCGATTCGTCACTGTAGCTGTTCGCGCATCGACGAAGAATACAACTATTACCGGCATCGCAGGATGTAAGATCATCGATACCTATTTTTATCGTTTCGTTCGTCCGTCGACGATCCACAGATCCACTGCCAGCTGGCAAAAACGTCGCGATTTCGTCGAATCGTGGTGTTTTCTACCATTTGTCACTTCGTTCGTTTAGAACAACCTTTCGCAAAACTTTTCGTGGGATGTTAGCGTTTCGTTCGATACGAACGAGTGTTTTGTGACAAATTAAAACGAATAATTATCTTTAAAAATGAAATAGATCTGAGCATTAATTATACGTTTTCATTTTGGAGATCGGCTACAAACGAATGAAAATACTCCGTGACTCGTCAGTTTAGGAGAGACTGGTTTAGCGGGATAATCACGAGCCGCTGCGGTTGTGCTTCCAGATGTAATAAAGAAACCGCCCGAATTGTTTTGCATCGGTAAGCAAACGTATTAGATTAATCATTGGGTGATTACGTCGTGTTATTTTATTATTGTAAGTGTAGCCTTCAAGATAGTAAAACTCTGCACTTCGACCAGTGGAATCTTTCGTGTGCACGATGTTAATGACAAACGCATGCAGCTATTCCAATAGAAGTGTAATGACGTTTGTCACAGGCGTTTCACGACTTCGTCACTTATCATGTTCCAGAGTTTCAAGTACCTGTCGATAGATAAGAGAACGTTAAAGGAATACTTTTTCATGGTTGCATGGTTGCACGATCCCGACTCGAACCTCCAAAATGAGACTCTTAACGATGCGGTGGTACGCATGTGATCTATTGTCATGTTAGCCAAACGGCAAAGCACTGGGTTGGCGAGAAACGAGCCACGAAACGCCGTCCAACTCGACCACGAATCGATAAAGAGAAGCGTGGCTTCCCGGCGGTGGAGAAATTCCAAAGTCTGACCACGCGGGTTTCCTTCCTGTGCTGTTACGGGGTGGAAAGGAAAAAGCTTTCGTCAGGATGATCACCTGCTGGATCTTGACCGGCGTCTTTGGGACCATCGTGTTGCTGTACGGCTTAATAGAGATTCACTACTTTCTGCGCATGTTCTTCACCGTCTTCTTCGCGCGTTTCTGCAAAAAAAAGGTGCACATTCTTGACGAGACAACCGTCTATGGTACGTTGATCCCTTGCATAGAAAAGTGATTAATAGCCTGGTGATTTCATACATTTATAGCGAAACGTATGTGGTTTTTTCAAGTAAATTCCTTAACGTTAACTCAAATTCAAATAAACAAAGTTGGTACAAGCCTGTAACATCGATATTATCGATAAATCTGAAATCTAATTACGAGTAATTTAGCTCCAACTTCTTCGAGACGACGATTAACGTAAATTGTTTTCCGTTGATAGTATAATTGGCATACAGTATATGGATAGAGGAATAATTTTCAACGTCTAATTGCGTCGAATACAGGATTTGCCGAACAAATGTTATCAGTAATCTAAAATGAAACGTCATCTCTGAAAATTCCTTTTCGCGTTGCTTCTGCAAGGATATCGATACCGCAGAATTATAAGCACTACACAAGCAAAACGTCATGTTCGAGTAAGCAAAGATTCCACGAATATGCGTTTAAGGCCCCTTCTTGTGTACACGTAAGCCCAGAATCCTTACAATTCAGCTACTTATCTTGGTCTCGTTCCCGTAAACCTTGACCTACCATGCGCGAATCAGTTGGCCGTCCGGTTGCTCGTGTCGCAAATCCGCGCTAGTATTGATTGCGCAGGGTGCTAGCGTGGCTAAATTCTGCAAAGCTGAACCAGCAATGGGCCAAAACGTAAACAGGGTGAATTTGGCAGTTGACGAGTCTGCACTTGTTTCGTCGGCATCGGTGTGGTCGTTTCGCGCGATGGTGGTCTTGAGGAACGTTCGCCGTGAACGTTCATACACATCTTTGTCACGCCACGTGCCTGCCACGAGGAATAATAATAAATCCTCGAAACGTTTAGTATGCCTGTATATTCCAACGAATGCTAATCTTTTATTTATTAGTCCTTGTAACGGACGAGGAAACCAACCGATTCGCGTTTCGTCCACACACGTTTTCGAATCCGTGTGTCTGGCTTCGAGCTCCCATTCAATTTGATCGCGTTAATGTTTGCAACATTGATTTAACCGAAGTTGCCCGAATATCTTGCGATGGGGCACGCGACCTGGATGTATGAATTTTCGCGTCTTTAATTCCCTTAATACTTGATACCGATCGAGGTCGAATAATTTTTTACAGATAAAATTAATTTCTGTTTTTCACCGCGTGATTTTTGATTTATAAACTTACATTGTTTGTTTCGTAACGTTTGAATTAGAAGAAGACGATTAGTTCGCTCTCTAACTCTGTTCAATTCTCATTCTGTTCGCGATGTCGGATCGCGTCCCCGGCCTTCGAGAATTCCTGTGTAATTTGCGACTTTGATCTTTGAAACAAAAATATTATAGTAAAATCATAAATCATTTGTGTTGTCCCATTGCATGCGCGCTCGACGTTGCTCTAATATTTCATTTTCTTAGGCATTTGCACCACCACGGACGTGGATACGCTCCTTTATCACATGAACAATGCGAGGTACCTTCGCGAGCTGGACTTTGCCAGAGCAGACTTCTACGAGAGGACGAGTTTGTACCGTGAAATCTGTTCCCAAGGATCAGGTGTCGTGCAAGGTGCAGCGACCATTCGTTATCGTCGATTCCTCAAGCCTCTATCTATTTTTAAAATAACATCAAAGGTATGCGCTCTCTTCGTTTGTTCGAATCGTAATACCGAGTCACCTTTGTTGAATTCATAAAAACCATCGATATTTGTTTTCGATCATTTCCTGGAAACGTAATAAAACTCTTTTTATTTTCTGTTTGTCATTGCGATCGTGTGAAGCATACTCTACTCAAATCAAGAGTTATCGAATAAACAGAATCGTTGACTTTTGTCCTGCAAATGGGGAGAGTAAATTGTTACGTGAGTCTTTCATTATGATAGCGGTGTAAATCCATTAGAAAACAAAAATAGAGTATTCGTTACGCAATATTAAAGGCATATTGATTTTGTCTAAAGAACAGCTTCAGTGTCGTAATATTTTCTTACGAATGCGTCGACATAAGTTCAGTTGTTGAACAGAATAAGACAAATATTCGTTGCGAATGTAACTTAAATCTACGAACACGAATGCTTTTATATTTCGACAGTAGGATTGTTACATTTGACATAATACGAGTAAATTACCAAACATGAATATTATCCTGAAACAAAGGAACGTGGACTTATACCACTTTCATACCGACCAGTTCAGATTTGCCTTCTGTTTCGTTTAGCGTCGGCGCCGGCGCGCTGGTGGCGTCGTTGAAATCGAAACGATTCTTCGACAGCGACAGGCCGCGTTAATTAGACATTATAATTTTGTATCCATTCGACGACCGTATGACTCACCGAAACGGAAAGTGTACTCCATCCTTCTCGTTATCAATTTGATCGCAGCGCACGCAGAATATATAATAAAACATATAATAATAATAATAATCTCTAAAAACTGCGCGTCAATTTTGGTGGTTTGTAAAACATAAAGTACGAACGGAGAATGATCACATTTTCTATTTGCTTTCTTGCAGATCATATATTGGGACGAGAAGTCGGTATACATGGAGCACCGATTCATCACCCCCAACGACGGTTTTATCAGGGCCATCGCGATTTGCAAACAGAGAGTTCTGGACTGCAGCGCAGAGGCAGTTATTGGCTCCCTCATGGAACGAGGTGTCAAGCAGAATGGCAGCGTCGAGGCGGGCGTGACTCAGGTGCAAATCCCAATTTTTAAACCAACTCGAACGATTAGAATCTACCGTTTCTAAAAACATGGAGGAATTCCTCTTTCCTTTGTTTACGCATAGTTGCCGTAAATTAATTAAAGCATACGTTTCAGATACCTCACGTGAGGCCGCAGATGCCACCGGAAGTAGCTAGGTGGCTGGAGAGCAACGAAATCTCATCGGCGCTTCTTCGTCAGGCCCCGGCAGTGACGACAAACTGCTGACAAAGAGAGGACACGCCGTCCACCGCGAACGGCGTTGTTCCCGCTACCGTCTGCGCGACCACAACTGTATAAGGGTCGGGTGTTCGATCTATTTTAGAGATCGCCTCTAAAGTGACTCGTGCTATAGCTTTGAATCAATTTTTTAAGGACGAAACGGTGCGAACGATCGTTACGCTTAAAACTTTTATTGATCGTACTTCTCGATCGTCTCTACCCAAACATTGATTCAACGCAAAGATCAGAAGCATAAATGTATACACGGTGTCAAAGGAAGTACCTTCCGATCAGTGGGAACCAAAATATAGAGTACAAAGACGGATAGACGTGAAACTATTTTGTTACACGACAGTGTGGTTTCCGATCGTGACGTTGCCTCTTTACACGCGAAGAATAAACGTATCCATGGACGATCCTATGTTTCAATGGATATCTCTAGGAAATATGTTACGAAAGCTGCCAGGCAACCGTAGAACCAAGTGCCAGAGTGACTCGAAAGAAGATTGAATCGAGGTCGATAAAAATGTACTTCGACGGAGCTTCCAAAGCTTGAAAGATCGCCTTTGTCGAATAATCTTTGTTAAAAGTTACCGTGATACACGTGGCGTTATTTACATTTTTTATTATATGCGCGATTGGCGTCGGTAATGATGAAATGCAACAATCTGTATTATGAAAGCGTGGAGATACCGGTGTTTATATGTATTTATATTAAGTTGAACGCAAGAACTTTTCGTTCGACTTAATAAAATGCACTGGACGTGCCTTTATATAAATCGTGATGGACCGTCACTGTCCTGCGGTTATCAAACACTCGAAGCATGATATTATATTTTCAGCTTTACGGTTGTCGTGCTTGTAACCTGTCCAATTATCGTCGTTTCAATCCTTTCATTGCATTTTTGGCGTTAGAATATTTGTCGAATCACAGTCGAATCTGTATAATATTTACGACCGATTCTTTAAATAGTACATAATATTCGTTACCGACGCTATTTGCACCGTAAAGTTTAATCCATCGGATTTTGGATTAAATCGGCATTGTAGTACGATTAAGTAGCCGACGACGTAATCAGTTTCGACAGTTGTAGCATTGCGCGCGTACGCGCTGGAAGACATTACTATACTTCTAGTTAATAATAATGTCACTGTGTCAGATAATACTGTGTTGATAATCATGTCGTTGAACCACTGTCCAAAAGAAGGAATAAATATTCTTTAGATGGGGATTATGTTTTACTTCAAATATTATATAATTATCGTACATTTATCTCGCACCTTCGATCTTTTTTTAAAAAGTTCTTGGTTCGTGCAAGGGCCCATCACAGTTTAGTAAATATATGAATTGTGATTTAAGGAATGACTTGATTTCATATTGTTCCGCTAAGGACTCTGCATTGTATGCGGATAATAAATGCTTGAATATTGCATGTAAAGATTACTACTGTGCATGGTGATCGTTGTTTAAAAATTTGTTTAGTTGTAGATTATTCTAGGGTTACATTATTAAACTGATTAAATTTATGATCGCCTGGGACACCTCAAACACCAAGAAATACGAAGAATTGAGCGTGATTAAACTACGTCCGATACCAACACCTGCTCTCAATGATCGTAGAGAACAAAGGAACTGATAGGTTTGATTAGTCATTGACAGATAATTATTCATCCGTACGTTAAAGGGGCGTTGACAAAAGTCACGTTACGAATGAAATGACCTAGTACTTTGACCGCGTGAAATATTTTGAATTGGACGCGCATACACCGCGCGACTATTCCGATGAAAGTTCACAGGTTGAGGAACCGGTTACGGTAATGCGCACGTAGTAAGAAGCGACCTCGCCGTTTGGAATTTCACGGTGACCGCTCGCAGTCTTCTTCGGACTGTGCCTACGTGAACATCGGGTCCCGCATACTCGTTCTAGTTCCTCGCCTCACTTTCCAGAACTAACTCAGAAAAATGGTCTGCGCTTGCGTGCTGGCTATCGCTCTTGCCCTCTACGTCCTGTTCGATGTCAACTATTTCCTGAGAATCGGTTTTACGATTGGCATGGGCAGGCTTTTCCACAAGAAGAGGAAGATTTTCGATACCACTACTATCTATGGTAAATTTAAAGTTTATTCGTACAATTTGCTATGCATCAGTGCGCATGTGTGATCTAAACTCTAGCTGTACTAAACCTGGAAATAACGGGCCTCGTTCTACGTGTGTCTTTTTGCTCTATATTCCTTTTTTAAATAATTCTGGGTCGTAGTTTATCGTGGAATGTTAGAAAACAGATTGGTCGCGAGTAGTTAATAATCTATACTTGTTACAAATACGAGTTTTCAATAATCTGAGAAACATTTCCGGATTTCGGCCTTTAAAACCAACATCGATACTGTTTAACATATATATATAAATAAAGCCCGCGAAAAATAGCTCGCTACATTTGCATCACGTGGCCACAGATGTTTCACGCTTTCGACACGACTTTAATGACGTTAACAAGGGGTCAGAGATAAATACACGCGTTAAACCGGAACAGCTTCAAACTTTGTCTCACGAATATCTAAGAACGCGTTTCTGAATAATATTATATTAAGCGGATAGTCCGAAATAACTCGTAAACTAGCCTTGAGATTAGATTTTTGTGCGATTATACTTTCATGGCGTTGATATCGACTTGAAAATTAAGCGGGTATCGAAGGATATCGCATCGTATCGTGATAACAGTTTCGTTACTGATACGAACGAATACAGTAAAGAGTATGTATCTTATGAATATTATCATGAATAATTTACGAGGAATACGATGACAGGAATACCATTTTTATATTTGTCAAGTGCCTACCTTTGTATTCGTTTAGACCGGGTATATTAAACTCACTTTTGCTCGACGGTTAATTTGCACTCTCTTACCATGTCACGGACCGTATGTATATGTATGCTTATTTTACGAATACCGAGTAGTTACTACTGTAATGTAAATAATGTAAATATTATACAGATTCTGTGACTTTTGTTTCACGGTGACTACTGGAGTTATTCATTCTTGACTTTTTCTTCATTAAATCATAACACTTTTTTCCAGGTATATGCACCACGCAGGACGTAGATCTAGTTTTTCGACACATGAACAACGCTCGATATCTTCGCGAGCTCGATTTCGCACGATTCCACTATTACGATACGTCTGGGATCTTTGCAGCAGTCGCTAAAAGAGGCGGAGGTGCGGTACAAGGTGCATCGTCGACCCGGTACCGTCGAGCGATTCCTATTTTTATGCCATACAAGGTCACCACGAAGGTACGATCCTCGTTATTACACGCTCCTCAATTACACAAAATATCAATATTAATTGGAGTCACCGCCGATATCGAATCACCAATGAGAGCGATTTCTCGAATCTTAAAACATTTAAAACTAAAATGGCTTAAGACATTTTAAAAGAAAGACAAGAATAGTTTTACACACAAAAAATTATAAAATAGTTTTTATTACGTTTTCATGATATTATCAATTAAAAAATTGTCTCATTTTTTATAGTTGATCTATTGGGAAGACAAACATTTCTACTTGGAGCACCAGTTCATCAGCGTGACGGATAATTTTGTCCGCGCGGTTGGTTTGAGTAAGCAGACAGTTACGGGTCTCGATATTCCCGTGTCTGAAATTATCGCCGAAGTCGAACCGGGAGCTCAACGACCTGAAATAGAGAAGGATCTGCAGTTATGGATAAGTTCCATGGAGGAATCCTCTCAGAAGTATAGAAAGCGGGACTGAGGGTTAACTACTTTTTATAATAGAGCATATTTAATATTTATACATTCTTGTTATGTTTTTCACGTCGTAACAACTGTTGCACGTGTTTGTCCACACGCGTCATTAGCGATTCATTTCATTCATAAATTAAAAAACACTCATTGAATTGGACGATTGTTCAGAGCTTCTCATGCTTTACATATTATCGATTAACAATCGACTACTGGAGTGATTCGTCGGGACTTGGTGTTTTTACCGATATTTACCTGTCGATTAATCGACCCTCGCTTGAATCATTATTTACAGCACGATAATTCATTGGAGTCTATCGTTTAATTTTATACGAAAGAAATATTTACTTGGGTTACACAGAATTTTTTGATGTTAATCAAACTATAAAGTATTCATTTAAGAAGGCAAATGGTTACATTATTACGAAAATGTTTTAAATTGTCTGTAACATCCACAACGATGGCCATTTGGTAATGAAATTTTTATTAAACGTTCAAGGAAGAATACCGTACATTTTTGCTGCATCTCTCAACTGAAGATATCTGCCATAGTTTTTCTATTAAATATCGTTTCCCCCTGCACATTCTACTTGTGTTTTTAGAAATAAAATGTAAAGTAGATCGTAGCGAATTTAAATATCTACGAATACTACAAGTTCCGAAGGGACGAGAATCAGGTCATCGCGGGGAAAGGAAAAAACGGTTGGAAAAGCCCGTTTCATTCTCGACAGCTGGAGCCGTGACATAACTCTATCTCGTGTAATCTGTAACGTCGTGTTCCCTCGCGTCGTTGAATTTCCACGGTTCCCGTCAGATGGCGACTTTTGTTTCACGGTGACTGATGGAGAACGGATGTGCGAGAGTTCTGCACGTTCCAGTCGTGCAGTCGATCCGGGAACTCGAAACCTGTCGCGAACGCGAGCCGACCTTTGACTCCGCTTCCCATGAACCTTCGTGATCCGTTCAGTGCCGAAGAGCTCGTGACAGCTCCCGTCGATCGCACATCGGTCCATTCTCATCTTCATCCCACCTGTAAGTGGTATCAGCACGTTTCGAATAGCGTCTACCGATTCTTCTTGTTTACCTCTGCTGAAATTTTCGCCGTCATTACATTGTGATTAATTTGTGACAGAGATGGACAAACTTCTCATCTAGATAAACAATTTCGAGTGACGAATAAAGAATAAACATCCTTTGATCCGCTATTCGATCAATGAAAATTACGATCCGAATTCGAATAAGAATCTGTATTTTGTTCATCTCTGTTTCTGTTACCTTTATGATCTGATAACTTACACTTGTCAGATTAAATAGCGATCGTAAACTAGATTTGTAATCTGCAACCCCTATCCTGTCCGAACTGTAGCGCAGTTCCACCTTCTCATCTTGCGTAGATCTATCGATTCTTTTGCTTCTGTGTTTGTGCGATCAAGTCTGGCGAAGTTGACGTTTTATTTTGCATCAAGTATTTTTATTTTGATATCTAGTAGATTTTTCACATTCATCGTTCCAAATGTCACACTGTTTCGGTTACGAGTGTCAGCGCGTCACATTCGCTGATGGTATCGTTTTCCGGAATTCCGCGCGGTAAGCATAAATTAAAGATGACACGATTCAATGAATAATCGGCAACATGACAATCGTAACGAGAATATTACCGCATTTAGTATTTCCATTCGCGATTTAATTGATACGATTACGTTACGTGTAACTTAAAAATAACCGATGTCAGTACATGGAGGCGCATTTGCATTTACATTGTCTTTGTGTGCAAATGGCATTCGTACGGATAAAATTATGCAATTACATCAGGAAAATTCCTGCACGAGTAAATACACTGTTGCGCGGCCCGTGTTTTCATAGGAAATGATAAAATCTGTTATTTTATTGGCATCGTCCACTGCTCGCGAAGAATCCGTTTCGACACATCAATCGTTATACCGAATCGAAATGTATAACAGCTATGTATGCTATGTCGCACGTTTTTCCACCTAGGTAAGTGTTTGCTTACTTTTACTTTAGATACGTTGTTAGAAAACCATTACTTGGAACGATAAATAAAGGTTCCGAGTACAAATATTTGTCTACATAATACAATTTGATAATATTTATTAATATTAAAAGAAACAGATAACGACACATTCGTGGCGATGGAATATTCGAATTATAAAATCTATCGAAGATTTAACATTTAACAAACTCGTCGTTAATTTTATTCGCCTTGTCTGGTGTCCGTGCGGAAACTTATCCGCACCAAGGCTCCGGGCAATTTTGTCGCGTGCACCGACGGTAGATCTCGTTAACCTCGACGAAACACTTTTAAACCAACGGCGGGAAGAATTAATTCGTTGTCAGCTAATCGTCGCAGACTGACGACCGAGACCAATTACGTCAACGTATACTGTTTCCGCGCAACAGTTTCTTTTACGATAAAAATTCTCTTTTCTAAGGCGTCGGTTTATTGATGACGTTGTTCGTTTGTATTTCGTAGCAGACGTAGTAAAATTCCAAAAAGGTTTGTAAGGCTGTATAAAGAAACTGTAACAAACTTTTTTGTATCCATAAACGGTTTTAAAAGTTACGAGAAAAATTGTATGCGCAATGAAATCAATTATGGGTCACGCATCGCGAAGGACTTGAAACTCTATTCGACCAGGTCGCACAGTATCGAACGTGGAACCGGTTACGTAAGGCAATCGAGACTGCGCATTACATAATGATTATGAACGAATCTCATAATCAAGCTAATACGAATTGTTCAATGACACTGGTCCCGTTGCAAGTCACGTTCCCCATGCTACTCCCGCGATAATATGAGAAACAATCTTGTCGATCATGGACGAAACGTTGCACGACCTTAAATAAAATTACAGTCGACATTTGTGAGTTAAAAAGCCAAATAAAGAACGCGGGTGGTCAAATAGAATATGCTCGAAATTTAAATGAGAAAACTTCCTCGTGGAAACTCTTGTTGGTATCGCGGACGAAAGCCAGCGTTTATTAACGATCGTTAATTAGAACAAGTTTTTAGATTAAGGATCACGTAATTCCGTCCACGTGTGGAGATTAGGAACGTTAATTAAATGTCGCTGCGGACCATTCCGATAATCCACGGACGCGATCGCGACATCAAGGAAAGGAAATCGATCGTGCGAACTGGCTGAACGCCGATTTCTCTTTCCCATGTTCTTCTTCGCAAAACAATCGTCGGTAGGATTTTTTCATTAGTACTATGACCCCTATCCTATCTTCCGCTTTCTTTCTCGCTCGTGGAAAATTTCTTTCTTCTTCGCAAATCAATCGAATAATCGTAGTAATACTTCTGACGGACTTTAAAGTCTTTTCACAAAAGAGAAAAAGAACAGTATGCATCGCGTGTTACCATAATCCTGCGACAGAGAAGCCAATCACGTATGCGTCGCGATGGATTAAAAGACGGGAGAGCTGAACGACGCGGCGCGGCCTTTTGTTCGATCCTCCGTTCCGTCACGTGGGAGGATCATCGCACGAGGCCGCATATCGTCTCGCGATTAACGAGCGTATTATAATAAATTGGGAATTATGACGCTGAGACCCTCTCGTCTCACGTAATCGACCAGCCGCGGTTTCTTCCGACAATCCTCTTGCAACGACCGCGAATAACGCGATGACTACACCGTCGTATAATAGAAATTACGGTCGACCAAGGATTTTTCAATGGGACAAATCACGCGTGCGATCTGTTGCTTCTAGAATCGTAAACATGAGTTTCATAATTCCATTCGGAAATGATTAGCTACAGTCTCCGATAAGTAAAGATTCATTGGTGCACGAATGCTCGACGGATACAGCTTCAGGGCGTAGAGAAGCGTAAATTTCCATGCAACGAACGTTCCTTTAATCGAGATCGTGCAAATTACACGCTAAGAAGGAACAGCACACCGGCGAGCTCCGAACGTGGCTGTTGTGTGCTCGACGCTCCTTTCCTCGATTACGTCACGTGGGAAGTTGAGCGCGTAGGACGCGTTAACGCGCGGTTCTCCGATGGCACGTATCATAAAGCGAGGAGAACCGAGAACCATATGCACCACGAGTGAAAGAGGGAGAAAGAGAAAAAGAATCGTGCCGCGTTAAACTCTTACGTTTAAGCACCGTCCACACCGTGTCCGTCGAGGCGACGAGCGGGGAGATCATAGATGATCGCAAATTGTCCGCAATTGGCAGGAAGTCGCGGCATGGGGACCGTTCCTACGCCCCCTCGCACTCTCTTCGCTGTTCATTAGCCGCCACGTTTGCGGTTCCATTTCGCTCGCACGAATTGATTTCAAGTACGATTAAACCTTGCTACGCGAATCCCTAACGGGGATTCTCCGAACGCCTTTGCCGAATTAGACCTTTTCGCGTCCATCGAAATTTGACTCGATCTTTCGAATCGGTATGTTCTTTCTTTCGAATAACATTTTCTGCTTCTATCGGAATACTCTTTTGTTTAATTACTTCTATTTGCAACAAGTGGCACGGGTATTACGATAGCGGGTTGCGTTACGCGTGAAACCTCGTTCGGTCGTGCGATAAGGCGAATCAATATTGTTTTGGTCCTGATAACGACATTCGGATCGAGGCACAAGAAAGGAAAACTTTCGTTGATTCGCGAACGGAGTAAAATGTGTTTCAACGGTGAGGTTTGCCCTAAAGAGTGCACCCGAAGTCGCTGTTTCTTTAAAAAGAAAACAATCTTGTTGTCCGCTTTAGTCGATTCGAAACATTTTACGGATTCAACGAAATGCTTGAATCAATTCAAGAAGATTTGTGTTCACGGTAACGAGAAGATAAGTCAAATTGTTGATCATAAATTTCGTACTTTCGACGAGCATAAATCGCAAGTTTTCCTCGTTCGCTAAGACTTTGCAAATAAGGTATTTCGACTGTCAGCAAACTTCGTTTACCTTTCGATGCTGTACTCGTGATTTGTTCGTTTGTACAGCGTAAAAAGAAGGTGGCTCGGTGAACCGTTGAAAGTCATCGTTACGCTGAATTACGAGAAATAAACCGTATACAGGTTCTTGTTTTTTATACGTCGATATCGCCTATCCTGTGTAAAGAAATTCGCTTTCGCGTCAAAATCCAAGGAGTTCGAGTGAGAAACCAATGACGTCGCAAAACGATCTATGGATCAACAGAGCGAAGAACGAAATCGTTCGATGTCGAACGCAAACGAGCGGATAACGAGAGAAACGTTAACGACTCGGTGAAATTAATTGTTTCGACTACACGCTATCCTACCATGATCTAGGAGCATCTCTGCGATCGCAAGAGAAAGTTTCCAATAACTATTTTTAGCGTGATTAAGTTCTTTCCTAATTTATTTTTCAAACTAACTAGTTTGCGCGTGAACGCTTCTCCTTAACGAAGACGGTTTATTCAACTGGCCGATTGCTGCCACTCGATCCATTATGTACGCTTACGCGAATCGCGATGTTTAATGCATGGAAAAGAACTCGTCGAACACGCTGCCAGTGTTTTTCGAGATTGCTGTTTCCGATACCATCGTGACCGTGTTCCGTGGAACACTCTATGGGACCTTTACACGACCGAGAAGATTAGTTGCATCTTGTCAGAACCGTGCGGAGCTTGATATCGATGCTTTCACGAAAACAATATCAAATGCTGAATTACGAAGATCTTAAAACGCTCGAGTCGGTAGAGGTAAACGAAATGTCGAAATCTAAATCTTCGACGGAGCGTGAAGCGACTCCGTGCGAAAAGAAACGCTCAATGATGTTCGAGAAGCAGCGAGATGCTTGATAAATTGAAATCGTTCTACGGAAAGGAAAACAAGCTCGCAGATTTCCGACGGCCTTGACGTCTCGCACGTTTCGCAGCAGACGTTCGTAGGAAAGTGACGTCCACACGTGAGTACTCCAGTCCTCGCGACGTAGGTGTTGGCTTCAACCAGAGCCACGCGATCGTGATCGGGATCGTGTATAGGTGAGAGGCCTCACCGTCGACACGATGTCCCGTTAGGGGACCTAGAAGGCCCAGAACGGGCTACAGCCAATCGTATCAACCTGGTTCCGAACACACCGGAACTGATCCTCGTCAGACGAGGATCGCTCGATCGGTCGATCGGTCAACCGGTACGCTCGCTGAATTTTCGCATCCGCGACGCGATTGATTCATCCTCGTGAACCTGTCGCGCGACAAGAATGAGATCTTTGCTATCGAGACGTTGATCGTAAGTTAGTGTTTCGGTTCGTACCGCGATTAGTGAATCTCGCTTGAATGTGTTTTATTTGTTATAATTTAAATCAGTATGTGATAGTATTCCAGAATTAATTGTGTCTGGTTAACTCTCGTTATCGTGAATTACATTTTGCTCGACACTGCTGTGAATCCGACTAGTTCGTTATATCTTCATCTTCCGCTGCTTCTCCTTCTTGCCTTCTTTTTGCTCGACTCGGTTTCGTTGGTGGCCAAGGCGTTTCCTGGCAATTCGGAGCGATGCGCAGTACGCGTACGTCCGCGTTGTCCCGACGCGATTTCTTTCCATTTCGGTTCGATCGTAGATCCAAACGTTTCATCGATCGTGATTCTCGCTAAAGTACGCGGTGATAGTTCGTACGTTTTACTTAACACGGAGGCCGATAACGCAATCCGTGCACATATTAATTAAGATTTGCCGTAGATAACTGGCGTTACACGCTAAAACTTGTACGCGATTACTTTCGCGATTTTACATTAAAATATCGAGCGATTGCACTCTACGGTAAAAGTTACTCGAAAGTTTCTTCTTTGTTTGCACGAGAGAATCACCGCATACGGTCTCCCGTGGTTCTAGGAAACACTGCCAGTCCCTTTGCCCCGAGGATTTTGCAAAGGATCGAGCCATGGGCCGCACAGGATACACGTGCATCAGACACGTCTTCTGTTCCCTCAACGTTCTCATATGGGTATGTAACATTTATCTACGTTTTTTTACAATTAATTCTAGAATCAATATAGCATCTTATGTGATCATTTTTATTTTTTTTTCAACGGGCTATACGAGAATGTAAGCGTTTAGAACATGCATCGCGTGGTTAAGAGTATTCCGCAACTGAATGATATTGGGAAATATTTGGTCTACGAAAGCGAGTATCATTCGGTTCTCTATGTGTGTATCTGCAAAGTTTCATTGAAATCAAGGCGTAACGCTTCGCGGAGTTCCCTCGTTAAGTAATAATTGTGTTGCGCGTAACACGCGATGCAAGTAACTCCGTCATCGATCATAAAAGGCTCTGTTTAATCGTAGAAAATAAATACAGTGCCGATACTTTGATACGGTACCGTGTTCTTCGGTGTTTTTGTTGACACGAGTCGCGAATCGAAAACAAGCGTTCGAGGCCCACGAGCCGGTCACGGTCTCGAAGAAACAGTGCGCTGTAGAACGTCGAGACAATCGACGAGTTAATTTCCATCGTTGCAGTCAGAATTGCACCGAGCACAAAGGAACAAGAGAAGAGCGCGAACAGTAGGAACAGCCCACGCGTACGATTAAATCGACGCGCATTGTCATTCTCGGTGCATTCCAACGTGCTCCGTCTCTTCTCTCGAATTTATTGTTCCACTTGAAATCATCCATCCGCGCCGCGTGGCAGTCTTAAATAGGACATTGAACCGTGCTCTATGAGCTATGAACTTACGGTACCACCGAAGACGCTCGTCGACATTCGTTCGACGAGACTTTTCCTTGTAACGCTTTCAACAGGTACGCTTGTCGCTATTTTCTCTCTTACGAGTCCATTATCGTTGCAATTTATTACTCGTGTTGACGTATCGAGGACAGTGCGCATATCACGAACAACTTTTCTGCTTATTTTTATGTAAAAAATTGTAGTAGACCCACAGTGGCGATTATTCGAGTTCGCGATTCAGTTAATAAAAGTTCAGCGGCGATTCGAGGGGCAGCTTAAAATAGGGGTAAAATTTTCCAGAGGCCTCGTTACTTGAATTGCGACCTTAATTGCATGCTTGGTCAGTTCTGACCGCGATCGGTCACACTGAAATTGCATTTGTAATTTCGCGCGAGAACGTAGTCGGTTCTCTAATCAGCGAGAAGAGGCTGTTCTGTCCATGGATATTCTTAAATGGAAACTTTCTGAAAGTCTGACATTTTAAGTATATCATCTTAAAATATCAATGCGAAATTCTAAATACATATCAGCGAAGACATATCGTTGACATTCGTTTGGATTAGAAAAGGATAGCGTTTTCCTTTAACGACATCGGTTACGCGAATTACGTAAATCGAGAGCGTTTAATGGTGTTTAATCAGAGTCCTTTCATTCATTTCTTGACACTGATTCTTGTTCGCGATGGTACGTGTCGATAAAATCGGCGTTGGTGCACGCGCGTCGATATTAGGTCGCTCGAACGCGGTGATTCTAGGCGATTCTGGCCCGACGCTTAAATTACTTCATTCGAACTCGTTTGACCGGATTGGATAACGCGGCCTGTCGTTACTACACAGATGCTAATTTACGGGAGTTCGAGGCGTTCGCCGGTGTAGGGTCAATACTCTGTCGGTGGCCTCTCTTGTCCCGAGTGTCGTCGTAGATTATCCGTTGTCTTATCCACGAGTCGCCTGCCTCGACGTGGACTGGAAGCGTTCATATTTTCGACTACCTTGACGAATTGATCGTAACCTGCCATCTGTAACCAAGCTGTAACCGCTGTAGATTCTGCGCGTGATCGATAATTGGAGCGAAGCCGATTAGAAACGCGAGACGCGATAAAGAACGCGACACCGTTGTATCCCCTGTCGTTAAGATAGGCGTGCACATCGCCGGTGAACTTCGAACCACCCAAGTCGAAATCAGGTTCAACTGGTTGGACAAAGAAACGGTAGAAATTCGAAATGGACTTGTCTCGCGGTTGAACGATCGCTTTACTCCGTGACCGTCTCGAGCAGAGCCCAACAGCATGGACGGCAAATTGCTAAACCGCAACAATCTCCGAGAAAGGTTAATATCCCTTCTAATATAATCACGCTGTCACCGATATTCTAGCGTACACTTCACCCAGAAATTCTGTTGCACCCGACCGAGACGATGGTAGAGGTTCCCTCTGAAACCATAGCCGCGACCGCGAGAAAAGAATCGAGACGTAAATCGAGCCAGACGAGCTTCAGCTATCGATATTCGCGTGCTCCGCGGGTGAAAAGCAACGTCGAATCGTCTCACGTTGCCTCCCATTAACGTTTCGATACGAAACGCATGCAGTGCTTTCTCGTTCCCGACCTACTTTTCCGTTGCGATTATACAGACCCCGAATAATCGAGATTCTCACCGTGCGTGGAAACCTCTGACGTTGTCCGGTGTGTTCGCGATTCGAGACGGTTCGCCGCGGCCGTACCTACGTCGTTTGTCGTTCGTTTGCATAATTCATGGTAGCTACATATTCGAAATCCATTCTAAAAGGTGGAACGTCTCAGAGATTCGAACAAGTCCGGGTCGTTTACCTTGTACCTGAACCCTTGGTACGTTAAAACAAAAGAAAAAACTACGCGCGTCGATTACTCTTTACATCGTTGTGGAATTTTCTAAAAAATTAAATAAAGATTTCCGTGCAGAGTTTACAGAATTGATATCGGTACTTTCTCTCTATTGTACGCAATAGCCGTGAAAGTAATGGATGGAAATTCGTTCCGGTCTCGAGAATCGCTTTTTCCCAACGATCCTCCGACACCGTTCAACGCGTACGCTCGCGCGGAAACGCTTACGCGCGCGTTGACAAAGAGACGACCGTGTTGCCTACATAACTGTGCACTTATATCGCACTTGTTGCTCTTCCTCCCGTAGTTGGTTGGAAAAATATCGTTAAAAGGGTACGCAACGATCGTACACCGAAGTGAAATCTCCCTCGTTTTTTCTTAAACCATTCGTTAACCGTTCGACAACCGATCGATGCGCAAAAGTGTACTTGGCAGTTGAGTGCAATCAAGCCAGGGCGTTCTGACTCGTGTTATCTTCTTTACAGTTATGCGCTTGCGGAATTTTGGGTGCAGGTCTCTGGCTCCGATTGGCTTACTCGGGATACACAACCTTGGTACCGCATTACAGTTTCGCGTCAGCTGACTCGTTGCTGTTGGCCGCTGGTTGTCTAACCTTCGTGATCGCCTTCTTCGGATGTTGCGGTGCTTGGTTTCAGTCAAGATGTATGCTGATCACGGTCGGTGGTGTCCTATTCCGTCGGAAGTTCACCTTCGCGAGACCATCATCTTTACTTTACATATTTTTATCCTTAGTACTTCGGATTGGTGATATTGATGTTCCTGGCTGAATTCATGTTGGGGACTCTGGCTTTCATCTTCAGAGAACATTTAGCCAGAAGTCTGAAAGCCGAGCTGCTCTTCGGTATCGAGAAGCATTACAATCTGACCAGGGAACCTGGAACGCTTCCCGCTATATGGGACCACATACACACGGAGGTAAGAGTTTATAATTTAGAAACAAATATTGAAATTTGAAATACACAAGTGTAAAAAAGAGAGGAGACTTACTTTGATAGGTTGAGGAGACAAAAAGAAAATTCATCGTCTATACCCGATACTTTTCTTTTGCTTTGAAATCATCCACTGTCGGATTCATTTTTAGAATAGGTGAGTCGTTGGGCATATTGCGTTGACTTGTAAGTAGCCTGCTTTGGATTATGAATTACAGTAACGAAGGTACTACGCGACAGCGAATTGTAGACGCGTGCTCGGCATTAAATCGAGATGCTTGCGTAATTGAACGAACTAAGCACTCGCTTGTTCCCCTTATGCACAAGTACATTTAATCCGACGATCCGCATTCGGAACGCCGCGCCGTCTACAAGATAAGAAAGCATCCTCTATCTTTGATGCTTCCTCCTTCGTATCTTTCGATTAATCGAATAAAGGTTATAGGTATATATTCCGTGCGTGGTATATATCCACGTGCCAAGTAAAAGATTAGCGAAAGAAAAGTTGCAGGATTCGGAATAAAAATAAACTGTAAAATACGTCGTTGATCTTTGGCTTTGATTTCAGTTCCACTGTTGCGGTGTGCGGGATTACACCGACTGGTTCCAGATCGACGCATGGCCGACGGAGGATCGCGTCCCAGATTCCTGTTGCGTGCAAAGAGAACGATACTGCGGTCGCCTCGATCCGGAGGGTCGCAACAAAGAGCTCTGGTACAAGGAAGGTTGCGCATACGCCATTCAAATGTGGCTGGTGACCAGACTCCACGTGGTGGGCACGGTCGGCCTTGTCGTCGCTTTCCTTCAGCTGTTTGGACAGGTGGCAAGCATGATCTTGTTTTGCACCGTCAGGCACAAGAGGTCCTCCCACACGTACAAGAGCTACGACACCACGAACACCTAGAATTTCAGATGGATCTTGGACGAAACGAGTGTCTAAGGTCCATGGGAAAAGCGATACTCGCAACGATCACGGTCTTCTTCGCCGCGATATGAAGAAGATTTCGATCGTTCCGACACTCCGAATCCCTCTAAAAAGTTTCTTCGTTGCCTCTGATAAAGATACTTTGTTGTTTCGAACCGGATCACTGTTTCCGTTCGAGATTCTCGAGTAGGCTCGATATCGACGCGATCATCGTTGCTATTCGTGACACTGGAGAAACGGCAGATCGTTAAATTCACGACTTATCGACGAACCAGAAAGTGTAAGTGGAACGAAATGATCGACGAGCACACAGTTCAAGCGATCCGAAAACGTCGAGTGATCGGTCTAACGAGCCGCGTTAGTTTTGACGAATGAGTGTTCAAAAGTGAGCACGTCGATGTTTCGAAGAATCGCACAGACTTGGAATCACAGCTGTAACGACGTCTCGATGAACGTGCTTATTGTCCAGAAATGAAGCGGAAGTGACTGGCGTCACAGAAACAATCTCGATGATCAAAGCCATTAGATTAGTAATATTTCAGACAATTTTAGTGTGTCGATTATATTATAAAAATTAATAAAACGAATAGTTTTTCATCCTTTGGTTTGGATTTCGTTGGAATATTATCCAAGCTATGTTAGAGGTATTTAACGATACACGAGAAATTAATCGAACGGTCATTTTTCACGAAAGAATAATTTCATTAATTTTTCGTACGTATCATTGCGTATCATGTAGAAAAACTAATATTCAAACACGATCCAACCCTACGGATCGAAAACATTTCGTTTTATTTTCTTGCATGGACTAACTAATAAACACGAGAGTACATCGATTCGAGATAATTGTTTCGTATTATAGGGTACGAACTTTTATGTTATCCTGCATGCGAGTTTGTTTATTTACAGCGTAAACGTTATCGCACACTGCGTATACCAAAATTGCTTTTTCTACAACCAGGTTTTCGGCGATCGTTTCACGTGCAACTTGTCCATTAATTTCTGCTTTGTCACGCGATTAACGCGCCTGGTTGCGCAAACGCAAGCACAAGTATTTTTACTCGTTACCGTTTAAGCTCGAATCGACGCTCCCGGGGTAATAGGGAACCGTAATCGTCGACATTTCTTTCGTTTAGCTTTAAATCCCTAGGAGCATCGTTCGAATGTTTTCATCGTATATTTATTTTATTATACACACGGTCGTATAGTTGGTAATCTAGCTGCACATACCTGACACCTACTAATTATTCGAAGAAGCGTGATTTCGAACGCAGTTCGATGGAGCTGTGTAACTCAAACTTCGCATCTCCCTTAATATAAATATAACAGGAAACAGATGTAATATAATTGTTTTCTTTCGAGAGTTAACGGATTTCTATTTGCGACAGAGGATGCGAACGGTGAAAGCAAATTGTATGGTTACGTCGCGACTCATCGAAAACCTACGAAAAATTGTCAAAGTTCCATTTATAAGTGAGTTAAAGCTTGTACGTGTATTATTCGAATAATAAATAATATATTTATGCGATAACCACGAATCTCTGATGTGCTTCCACAACTGTCATATTAGGGCCTGAACTTTAGACTTTAAATGAGAAACAAATAGTTTTATTAAAGTAACAAAAAGTCATCAAACAAGGTGCAAACAAAAAATTTCTTATATTAGCTTATTAACATGATTGTCATTCGAGTCCGATGAGACGAGCTCCCACATGATTCAGCGCTTCCGTTATTCCACGGGACGTCGTTTTAGCAGCGTTGCGTGGCAACTAAAGACGGAATAGTATATTAGTAATATCCTAACACCATCGGTTCCAGGAGTCGCGCGTCTAAATTGACTACAACACGCAACTCGTATAAACTCGCTTGCCAAATTGGAGTAAGAGGTACTTACGTCAACCACAGCGTTGAGAAAGTTGCTGAAACCTTCGAAACTGTTGACGAGGGCTCTACCAATTCCGATGAACTTGTCCCCAGAGTTTCCATACTTTTCCTGCTCCTTGATACCATCGACGAGCGGCGTAGGTCTGAATAAACTCTCTAAAATTCCCGTTATAGGCTTGTAAACTGGCCTTTCGAGAAAGCCTTGAGCCCTCTCCGTCTCCAATCGTACAATTTCACGCGTGTCTGTCCGAGTATTCGTCACTGGCATGTTCTGGATAGTTTCCAAGGACCTCTGGGTTTTATTCGGATCTTCTGTCTTCTCCGCGATCACGGTATCTACATTGTTCTGTGAATCGCTGACCAGCGTCTGATCGATAAACAAACACCATACACCGTTTTCCTCGTTTCGTTGTTTTAACGTATATATCTAAGGACCTTTTCAACGCATGCTAATATGTACAGTCTCTCCTGCTAGAAATAGGTGACCCCGTTACTTTTGTCATTTTTCTTATCTTCAATAATACGACGAAGCGTTGCTTGCACAACTTGTACAACTTCGAGGAAAGCAGTTATCGAAAGTATAACTAATTGTAAGTTCGACACTCGATTCAAATTCAAGTTCACGCGCATGCTCCACAGATCCCTAAATTGTAGCCAAGTAGCGATGAATGGACTAAACGACTAAACTATTTCCAAACCGAGCATACACAAGTCGCAGGCGTCATCTGCCCACAGAAACGAGAACCGTTTCTTTACCGTCGTAGGCATTTTACCGCCGCGCCGCGAGCTTTCACTGTACGGTACGATGGTACAGAATTCGATTTAAAACCGACCTTTGTAAGCAACGTTTCTTTCTTTCGTATAACGAAACAAGTATATTAAGGCTGCTCGTTCTAGCAGAATATACTGTACCGAGTGAGTTTTAATCGATACGTGTCCCCGAGCTAATTGAACGAGTTTCGCACGAGATTCGACCTCGATGACTTTTACACGAGATCGTTCTTCGCGTTCAACTACTTCGTTATTCCTTATTGCCACATACGAAAGGGAAAAGAGCTAACCTTGCTCCAGACAAGACGTAATTGCGAAAGATACACGCGAGATGGATTCGGCGGCGTGTCTCGATGAATCTCGATTTTATATCAAGGGATTATCAATTTAGTTGGGAGAGGAATGAAAATCAGACATTAAACGCGTCAATGCGTCAATTACCTCCGCCCGATCGATTATGATGTTTCTGGCCAGTGTGACAGAATTGACCAATCTTCCTGTGACGATTCTTATCGCGTCCGCGACGCGGCCTAACAACTCCTACAAAAACCGAAATGGAATTTTGACTGGAACCCTCTAGATTCTGAGGCCAATGTTTGCAATTTTGACCTTTCGTTAATTATGTTCTCGTTCCTGTCGTAATCGATTCTCTCTCGATTTCTTTAACACCGTGTAAGAGTGACACTCGTACATGTAACAATTGAAACGATACAAACTTTTAACCGCGACACAAGGAATTTAAGAAATCACTCACTCGTCCTTGGTCCAATCTCGACGTGGCCAACGTAGTGGCGGCAGTCGAACTCACGTCGCCGTCGCCGGTGTTTAGTGTAAATCTCGTTGGTTGTTCCGTGGGTAAACCGATCGATGGATCGAAACGACATACGATAACTATAACACCTATCCTCAAAATACTTTTTATTCCAAACGTCCTTCGCATCGCTGTTACTCTGTGAAGAATGTTTCTCGGTGAAAGTTTCAACTTCGTCATCGTTGAGAAATATTTTGACAGAACTTTACAAGTATTATAGCTTTCGATACTTTCTTTCGGAAGCAAAACGATTCGATACGAGTACTTACTCGTGCGCCTGTTATATCTGCACCTTCTGTCAAAAACGAGAGGGAAACTAATAAAATAGAAACGGAAATTCAACGACAAAGGTGTTCGATGGCTCGCAGTTACTCGGCGACTAACTCATTTCGTCGTGCTCTGTTATAAACTCGACGTACAGTCTTACGACATGGCGTTACTTTCTCCTTCGATTTGCTTCACAATGTTAGTAATGCGATTTCAGTGAGTTGCGCACAAGTTGAGAAAATGTAATTGTGACAAATTTTTCGAAATTTTTCATAGTTGGAAATATTATTGTCTCGAAAAACATTGGTATTATAATAATCTGAAACTCCGAAATGCATTAATCATCTATTCATTGTACATAGTAATTCTGAGAAATTTGTCAATGTTTTAATATCTATTGATTGGGTCAACTAAATATTCATTTTTGACGATAGTTAAATTATTTATTAGTAATATTTGTTTAAAAAATGATCGAAAGTATGATTTTTCTGTAATATTGACGTACAGAGGGAGATCGAGGGAACATTGTTTCCTTCCATCTCACTCGCGGGTTACTAACGGGTTGCTAACTTGTAATAAGATCTTTACATCTTTCGACGTATTTCAGTTAAATATAAATGTTGCGCATAGACAGTGATTGATTTAGCGTGAAATGACTTATTCGCAAATTCGTTGTTGTTTATTAAATTTTATTACTTCGATACAATTTGTCACATATAATTGCTCCTTCTGTATTAATTACTTATGTGTTATTCCGGATGCAAATGAATTTTCCAGCCACCGAAATAATAGACAAATTCAAATCATAAGAAACCTAATAGTTGACTTAATAGACTTCCTATAATTTTAAGTAGATTGTCAGGTGTCTGAAACACAAAGAGGAAATATACCGAGTCAAAAACAAGTAAGAAACTTTTAACGTTCCACGTGAGAAACACTTACAGCCAACAGAGATTCTAGTGCAGACAACAATACGTTGACCACTGGGTCTATCAGCAGTTTGGTGATATCTTGTGGGCCCTTGACTACTCCGATTAAAGTATCCTCAACTAGATTTAGAGGGAGTTTGAGCAGTGGCGTAACGAGGTTTTTCAAGAGTAGAACTGTCTCTTCTCCAAGAATGGGCTTCAATTCGAGAAGAAGTTTGTCCACAAACTGTTGAAGCTCTAGCTCACCTGCGTATTATGGTAAGTAATGCGACGCCCTTGATCGATACTTTTTCTCTCTAATAGTTATTCTGTTTCTATTTTACTTACCTCCGTTTGAGTTTTCTGACTCTCCCGTGTTTTTTGTTGATTCAATTGGCTCACTCGGATTCGATTCATTATTGTTCTGGAATTTAAAAACAACGAATAACAAATTTTCCGTATCGTGCATCGAACTCGTCGATCGAAAACTTACGTTTTCTTCTTTCAGGCTTCGAGATTATTAATATATTTGAAATTTGTTCGATGCTTACCGTATTATCCGGATTATCATTCTGGGGTCTTGCCAATGTTAACACCGTGAAGGAGAGCAGCAACAAAATTGCAAGCTTCATTCTGAACGCGTTCAACTTGAACATTGAAAGGACCAGAAATTTATGTTTAGCTCGACTCTACTACAGATTAGCTTACCGTCTGGTAATACCTAGAACCGCTTTCTTGCTTGCTGTCTCGTATCGACGTACTCGCGTTTATATAGTTATCGGTCAACGTACATTAAAATGAGCAGTCAATAATTGTAACCACTTAATGATAATTTTAGTTGCTCGAATGATAGCATTAATATTCAAAACCTCGACCTTGGCTTTTCATCGAGTGGTCGTATTTGTCTTGAGCGCCATTGTTTTGTGTGAAATTACGATACTTCCTTGTAGATACACTTATCGGCGAGTTGTATAATTTGTACGCAACGCAAAATTTCTCGATGATCGTGAAGATGTTCAAAGTTGTATTTGACAAGGCTTTACGATAAAATTTCTGTCCAAATTTATATTAGCCGTGTATCGTTGACGCGTTAACTGTTGCGTCATCTTTTTACTAATGTTTGCGAGGCTACGGGTTTTTATTAAAACTATGATTAACGCAGTACGGACTAGGAGAGAAAAATGCAAGAAGGGTGAATAAAAAGATTTATTTAAAAATGTATTATAAAATCGTACATAAACTAAATTCTATTACATTGATACATCATGACTTCCTTTACCATTAAATTTGCGTATGAAACATACCCTCGAATCGAAAAGTTTCACGTATACATACATACGCAACGCGATTAGTCAACCGAAATTGTTGTTTAATAATCGGTTAACAGCATTAAGTGTCGATACTGGTATCTGTAAAACGATATACGTAAATAACAAAGTTCGATAATATAGAAAATACTTATAGAAACGTTCTAGATTCAATCGACAATTTTCCTCACGTTGAAGACGTCCTCATAGAATCCATCGCTGTTACCGCTTTGTACTAGTACAGGATCTGTTCTCGATCTGGGTACATTTAGAATTTCATCAACTTGACGACGCGAAAGTTTTTGAGTATTTGCATCAGATGGATCACTTTGTACATTCACCCCGGTGTCGTAGATAATTTGTTTCCTGGGTCCCCCTAATCTCTTTCTGATCCATTTTGGATATATGACTCTCACTCGTTGAGGGCGTTTATCTAGAAAAGTATTTCGAGTACTTATGCGTAAGAAAACAAATCTAAACGAAAGTTTATTGGTAATTATCGATGTGAAAATCTTTTTTTTTTCGTAACTAATCGCTAAACACTTACCTACTAGTGGAATTTCATTCGTATCACTCGTCAGCGGGGGTGCAGGGGGAGCTGGCTCGATTGTTCCAACGTTTCCTACTACCTTCACCTGTTCCATCGGCTGCGGAACCAGAGGTCCTTGAGGAACAGGATTCACGGAAAGAGTTCCAGAAATACCCGCGCTGGCAATAACCAGTGGCTGAGACGCTCCTATTTCACGGATCTGACGCAATCGTATTCAAGTTTTTTTTTTTTTTTAGGTACAATGACAGTTTAAGAAGCTGATATATCGTTCTCAAAAATTGAACTAACAATAACTATAATAATAGTGTAGAATGGCTTATCGTCGCAAAGAAATGCCAAGTTCTTTTCTATCTTTTATTCTTGTACAAATGTTTAAATATTCATTATTCATACTACAACTTCCCATTCCGCTTAAACATCACGGAAGGTCTAAAATTGTTCGCATTGAATTTCGTCGTAATCTATGTACACAGGGTCGTAGGAATTGCTTAAATCGTACGTAAGACATTACCGATAACAAGTATCGATGATAATTTGAAATTTTTCCTATTTTTTAGCCTTCTATTCACTTGCGCCTGAAAATCTTAACCAACTTCCCTCTTGTACATACATTGCCCCTAAATTATCATTTACTTATTCATACATGCATATGTATGTAAATGAAATATATTTCGTTCTGATGTTTTATTTCATTCAAAAGGGGTTACTTCCAAGTTAAACTGATAAATAACAAACTGCTCGATGTAATCATCTTAAACGATGTTGTCATCATCGTGATTTCGACGATTGGTTACCTCTTTGTTCGATGAATGGTCCTTCTGCTTTGGTTCCGGGTTGACCGCGTTGCTCGATGCCTAAAAAAATTCGACATTGAAAACCAGCTTACGATATTGCGACGCATCGAGTGGCTCGATGGTAAAAACATCGTCTCAACCTGCTTAACATTCTGAGCCTTCTTCGCGATGATTTGAATGTTCGAGCCACTTCCGACTGGTTTGCCTCCGGCGCTGACCGATCCGTTGATACCTTTGCTAGTCGAACGATTGATTTCCTCGTTTGGACCGTAGACTCCAGCTCCGGTTGCCGCAGCAAAATCACGGGTTCCCGTTCCGACGCTAACTCCACGGGCGCCGGTGGTTGCACCGGCGAAGAGCCCACCCCTAGCGGGGACAATCGATCGTCCGCTACCGTCCAATACTCCACCCAAGCCGGCTGCAGCTTCCGGTCTTCCATTTCCGAGGCCAGCTCTCGCGTAAAGACCACCTCCTATTAAATTATCGATTTTTAACTTTCGTACGCTCGAAAACGAAAGATTTTTCTGTAGCTGCATGGAGCCTTGAATCACTTTCAGACATAGTTCTTTTATACGTATATAAGAAGTTGTTTGTGCAAACACAATCTCAATACAAACAATAAATATATCTAAGCTAGTGTGCCTGCAGGCATACTTTATGTTTCTATCTGGCAGCTGCAACGACGTAAATTTATTTACGCTTGTCTTCCGCCAACTTGCAAAGAGAGCTTATTATCGTCGATTTCGAGAGGTTTCTTGCCTTTGGGAAAAAAATCCTTTTGGATATCGGAACGAAAAATGATCGAAAAGGTTCTCGGCTCTTGGCTCGCGAATTAATTTGCGACTGTGCTTGCTACAGTCTCGATATTTCACGATCCGGAACTGTATTCTAGAAAAGATTGTAGGAAATTCTACTAGCCAGCATTTGCATTGTCACCGCCGAGCAATCCGCCCAGGCCAGCTCCTGCGTGAGCACCCCAAGGTGTGCCTGCACTAGCGTGAAGTCCACCTCCTGTTCTCGAGCCAGTCAGAAGACCACCAAGGCCTGCCTCGGCGTGATAGCCTCCAAAATTAAATCTAATTCCGCCATTGGTAAATTGAATCAGCGGAAGCTGTGAATAAAATGAAAAGGAAACGGATCATTCCTATAGCAAGGAAATATGTTCGCGTTGCCGAATGGGGTACATCGGTTTCATTTCGAAATTATCTAATCGAGACATACTCCGTTGAACTTGACCCTGCCCCAAGTTTTATATATTTCCCTATATTACCGATAAGAAACTTACCAATACGCCGAGGTATAGTAGATAGCGGGTAAATTGCTTCGATGCTACTGTCAATTCGAATTGGCTCTTGCGAGCATTGAAAGAAATACGTAACTATGCTTCGGCTGTAATTTGCTAATGCGTGTTTCCACGTGTTACTTGTACAGGATAGCTCAAAAAGCGGTTACCGACGGTTCGATTTATAATATTTTTCGTATTCGATGAATATTTGTAATTATCGCTTCGAATTGTACCTGGTCAATTTCTCGAAGATCGAAAAATACTAATTTTTTTTTTCTGAAAAAAATCGGATAATAGATCATTTGAAAAATGTTTCTTCTCTGGCTTTAAATGGATTCGTAAAACAAATCGGTAACTTTTAGAACATCCTGTAGTTATACGTAACACGTCTTTAGACGTAACAATGGCCATTTTCAACGATAACGAACTCTAACGCACGACCATTTTCTTCGTGTAATCGGTATCGACTAAATTTTAATGAGATAATGTTCAGTATATCTATAACGATTTCGATCGCCGAGCTCTGTAGCCTGCACCGAAGCACTTCCGCAATCCTTTCTCCGGCCACAGTTTCGTTTGCGAGTTACCTAATGGTCTTCCTCCGTTGCTGCTTTTCCTTTCGTATCTTTACTCGTGAATCGATCTACCATCCAACCGTCGTCTGTCGTTAGATCGTTGTCGCTGGTTTTAACCGCGTTTTAAGAAAATATTTAGAAAGCCCATAGCGGAAATGGACGAAAATTGTCCTCATCTTTGCCGACAGGCAACTCGATTCCCAGATAAAGGTACGAATACAAAAATTTGATCATTTTTCACGAAACTTACCCCGGCCGATGGTTCCTGATTCCCATTATTGTCGCTTTGAGGCATTCCCGTTGCGTAAACTAACAAACAAAGAGCAAACACCGTAACAACCTTGCCGCACAGCATCTTTCTTTCAACTGACGCGCTCTTCGAACCGCCCCACGGCGTACTACCGATTTCTGAAAGGACCTCGAAGCCGTTACGACGGGCTTACCTGTCGGGAAGGGATACTGTCTGACGTGTTCTAAGAAGAAACAAGTTGTCGAGCCGTCCATCGAATCTTGGCGACTGCAAATTCACAGACGCATCGCACGGCAACTGCGTACCAAATGCACTGTGATTACGGGGGTCGAGGTCGGACTACATACATATGTATATCACTGGAACGTCTGCGACTAGTAGTTAGATGGTTTCCTTGTCAATTGCGACACATATTATTATACTTATAAAACAATAGTTTCTATCACTCGAAGAGAAAGAATATCTCGTAAAGGAAAAATTATTTGATCGGTAAAATTCCATCGAGACTTCGTAATTGTCGTGTTTATGTGAAATTAAAGGAAAACCTTCGCGTTCAGGATCGTGGTAAAAACCTGTGTTGCAGTAAATTAATACTTTTTTGTGTAGACCACACGGTGACATGCAACAAGTTAATCGATTGTAAGAAGAAAACTCGATGCATGCAAATTATCGAATTGCAAGTTAAATTAAAAATTGATACGTATCTTTGTCGCAACAGTTTTGAAACGATACACGGACAACGTTTTATACTCCGATTGCTTAGAAGCTTCTAAAAGTACCGTTAATTTAGAAGTTTTATATTCATCGGCCACAATTCATTCGAAGCAATGCCGAGTTCGCGCATATCATCAGCACCAGGTTCATCGTACACATTAGAATTCTTCAACAAATCGACTGTAGAATCGAGAATGGCTGGAAACATTTGGTATTTCGTTGTTGTTCTCCGGAAGAGAAGGTGAATTTGCGAAACGAGCGTGTGTTCTTTGTTGAAACCTCGGAGTTTGAGGAAACCGCTAATGTGAATCACTCAACCTTGCGCACACTGTGTTTCCTATGCGAAAGGTAAGACATTATGATATCTCCGGAATAATTTAATACCACGCGACGAACTAATTATCATTTAACGTAGAATTACATGTAACGATACAGCGACGAGTGAGTCACCTGGAAAAAAGAATGGAACTCGTTGCATACTAGAAAGATCTATAGACTCGAGGGAAAAGGAATTTATGCAAAATGGATGAGCACATTTTTCTATTTTAAAATTAAAAAATCTGCAATTATATTAAAAAAAAAAAAAAAAATAACTTGCGAAGAAGTTAAAAACCCCTACTTTGTGTGGAAAGAAAATATATTTACGTATGCAGCGGAGGATTACATTGCTATATTAAATATGGATGTTTATTGTGACGGAGAAACGCTCATGTCATTTACGTTTCCTGTAATCACGGAATTTTTCTCAATGTTTGTACAAAGGTAGATACAGAGATACGCAATCGAATGAGTTTTTGCGAACATTCAATACGTCACGTACACTACAATATTCTACTTATATTATTTAAATAATAGAATCGTTACTTGACGACTTGCTTTGCTTCAGTTTTAAATTTTCGCAATTTTCTAAAAAAAAGTTTACTCATCGGATTCTAGCGATTACATTGTAATACTAACTACTTTAACGATTACTGACATATTTGTAATCTACAGTCGTAAATCAGTAATTTATAATCTCCCAGAGTTAATTATACTCAATTATCCGTTCATCGTTATTGATACTGATGAAATGTATATCGTCTAACATCGACGCAACTGGGATATAACGAGATCTATCACTTAGGCTTTATAGCTTTTCTTTATCTTGTTCCTCAAGACTGAAACGCGATCCTGTTGCTCTTCGGTGCAATTTTATTCTGCAGCGGAGGTTCTTCCTCGTATCTGAACCTATCCCTGAAGTTTGTTACCGGTGCAATTTTATTCTGTATTTGTGAATCGTCGTAAGTATATTTATTTGGCTTGTCCTCTTTTGGGGCGATCTTGTTCTGTATCGTAAACGCGTTGGTGGGCCGGGAACCATAAACTGTTCCGATTCCAGCTGTGATTCCGTGCCACGCATAGCCAGTGTCTTCTTCCACGTTCTCGTGGACTTCGTAAGTGTTTTGGTTACTACCCGTCAAACTACCGTGGCTTCCATGGATGCCTATAAAATTGATTTTTCATCGTTAGACGTGTCGGATACAAGTTATTTCGCGCGACGTAGAAAATATTTACCTTGGTGTCCATTACCACCGTGATCAGTCTGCCCACTGTGAACCCCGTGTCCGACATGACCACCATGCCCACCAAAAAGATCTAAAAAACCATGATTACCAACTAGAAGATTCGATAAGGCGTTCAGTCCGAACGGGTCTTTATTGTGAAGCATGATGGTTCTCTTGTTCTGTTGTCGTTGAAGACGTTGCCGTTGAATTTGATCCCTTTGCAATCTTTGTCTTTCCCTTTGAGCCAGAATTTTGTCTCTTCTTTCTTCTCGTATCCGTTGTAGCTCTTCGGAATTCTGAGTTCTTTGTCCAGACGTCGCTTTTACGAGATTTCCAACCGCCTCGAGAGTCGATATAGGAATCTACAAAATCATTTCGTTCGTGAATTACGCAAAGAGAAAAAAGTAAAATAAGTTTGTTATACCTGAAAAACACTGTCAATGGCTGGAGAATTTTCCGGGCTAAACGACTGAGCAGCGGTAGCGGTTTGTTTGATCGCCGTGATCGGAATCTATCGTCGCGTAAAATTGGTATTTAAACAAACCATCGTGAAAATGCAGAAGCGATATACTACTCACGTTAAAGATGTTATCTATCACGTGTTCACCTTGCTCCGGGACATTTTGACGTTTCACTCTCAAAAAGTTCACCTGCAACAGAAGAAGAAAACTCGAGAAATCCATTTCATGCGTTGTTGTGAATTTCTTGACGCCGCTGGTCCAAGCGTTTGTTCGCGATGGTATTTGGGATCGTTTCTGAACAGTTACGCGCCCACGTTGCACGCCAGCTTTCACTTTTCTACGTATAAAAAGTATCAAACGATTGTCAAGATGCCTTCTACACCCGAGATTGATAAACCACACCTGTATTGTTAGTGCGATTAAAAATTAATGTGTTATTCGCGAGGAGCTTACCCCTTCGGAAGGAACGAGACAAAAAAGTCCGAAGATAGCTATGCTTGCTATCATATTTGTCAATTTTCAGCTCTGCTCTGCGAACGATGTCTGGTGCGATCTTCGTGATCAACGTACTGCAGAACGGGTCGGTGCGATCCACCGATCTATAAGGGTGACTGTAAGATCCCACGCCGAGGATCGACCAATCACGTTTCAGAATCTTGACGCAGTATTTTTGCCCACCGATTCCTTTCTATTTCACGTAAGCATGATACACACAAGTCGGCCCCTCTTTTGTCCTCTTTCACCGGGATTCGTTCGTGTTGTTTTTCATACCTATATAGAGTAGCGTGGGTGGAATCTCATTTGACGTCGCTAAAAATGAATTTTACGATGTCACAGACCTACATAATTTCAACGCATAAAAATCGTCAATGAAAGAAGAGTCGTTCGTGCAGCGACTTCGCCAATGCTCTGTCGATTTCAGGCAATAAAAATGTTGCAGACGAAAGTCTAAAAAATAAAATACAGTTGTGATATCACGTGTAACCGACAACTCGTTACATGTAACAGTACTCACCAAGGGAACGTTCGAGAAAGAGAACTTTGGATTTGGAAGAGACGCCGAAGAGTAACTAGACACGGGGATCCGTATTACAAAAGAGAGCCTAGAAATCCCACGCAAAGCGCCAACCAATCGAATTCGATGCAAACGTCGAGAAGGTGCTTTCTACTTACCGCAATCGGACTTCTCGAATTCCCGTCCGCTCCCGCCTGTCCTCTTTCACTGATTATTCGCCCGCAGGTGTTACGATCATGTGGGTCGCTTCGGAGTTACATAAATATCGGACGATGATCTTTGAAAGTGACGTGAGCCGATCGGCCACCAACCTTTGAATTTCGTATGTTACGCAACGTTCTACCTAAAGCACTATACAAGGTGCGAGAAAAGTTCGTAAAGTGTATCCGTTACCATTTCGTTTGAACGCAACGTAAACCTTATTAAGCGCTCGACCGATCGGTTCTCGTGTTTGCAAATTTTTCGACCTTCAGTTTGAATGTTTCTTTTAATTCGAATCGTAAAAATGCAGTTACACAGTTGATCGACTAATGTTATAACTAAAAATGGATATATTGTACGAGAGCTACTCAGTCTTTGACTACGCGTTACAAAGCGTATTGAAATTCACACTCCTCGGTATGCGTTCGGATTGTCCTGAAGAAAGCTGTCCACCTGATTTCCAAGATTTTTCCGGAACTCCCTTACGGTTGTTTCCGATTCCTACAACAGAACCGATAGTTATCGAGTCTTTTCGGAAAATCTATCAAATCTTACACCTCGAGTTAGTCAAAGAAACGAGAAGATCTCACGTTTAAAGCATCTTTCCACTCGATGTTGAACAGCCTAACGAGGCCTAGGACATTTCGTCTGATCAAACTCTGTAAATCACTCCTGGTCAGTAAGACGGTCGTCTCGGTGGTCGTCGTGGGTGACGTTGTCGTCGTTGTTTCCGTTCCGTTGAGATCTGCCGTTTTGTTTGCAGTGGCATTGGTATTAATAGCCGTCAAGGAACCACTCATCATTGAACTTTGCGTTGCAGAATCCGGCACGATGCTATTGTTGACTATTTCGCCGATTTGCTGGATCGCTGATTTAGTGTCGTTGATGGTCTGAAAATAGGTATGATATTCTTATTAAAAAGTTCATTAAAACGTTTGGAATAATTGAATCTCGAATCTAAAAGAAATAAGAAATTTGTGCGATTCTCTTACTTCGAAGGTGATTCTAGCGAGGGTCCAAAAGAAACCTGGCTTCTGTTTTCGGATCTCTCTGGCAACCCTCTTCGTCTCTTCGGATATAATATTGTCTTGGATCGTATTGCCCAAATCTTTTTCGTTCGAGTCTTCCGATAGTAGTTTATCGAGAATACTCATGTTCTTAATAATTTCCTTTTCCTTCGAACTTGTTTCCGCGTCTTTTGCTTGTCCGAGATGTGCCCTGTCGCTCGACTCTCCTCGCTCTTGATTATTCGCCACGAAATCGTGGTAATCGTAATATCTCTCCGCGTGTAGAGTTTCTTCGGGTACTCTTGCGGAATACGTTGACTGGCGATTTTCAAAATAGTTTACCGCGTATGCTGGGAAAGATTTTGATTCGTACCGTGTCGCATACGACGGTGGCCTTTGAACCATTGGAGCACTGTACCGGTAGGAAAGTATTTCTGCTGGCTGTAAACGGGGATCTGAGGGATCGTAAAGCGAATAGCTAGGCCAGTAAACTTTTTGTGGTTCGCTCTGAAGAGGACTAACGAAGCATGGTAAGAACAAACTAGCCACGAGCCAGCAGATCGGCGATGTCTTCATCTGCAATTAAACCCGAAAATGGCGTTTCAAATGGCGAACGATTTTCAAGAGTGTCTTTAGGCTGTTTCGTTATTATCGAAGATTTTTATTGTGTTCAAGTAAAGAAAAATGCTGATACAAAGGGATTAAAAAAGTGCGGTACTTGCTTTGCGAAGAATTCGTCGAGGAATGCTATTCACGTGGAATAAATTCGACGACGATCATTTAAAAACACAATCGAAGACTACGAAACGCCCGTGCCCGCGCCCGGGGAAAAGAAAAGAATCGAAAAAACAAGAAAACCAGGACTGCCAGAGAGCGTTTACGATTTGCTCGGTAAGCGCGCGTTTTTCTCGTGTTCGCACCATTCCTATCACGTAAGTTGCGCGAGTGGTCGCCAGGTAAATGTGGAAAAATGCGACTAACGAGGCCGTTTATATTCGTCACGCGAACTCATTCGATTTAAATGGTACTTATCATTAGCCAACTCACATCGACCAGAATACCAGTCCTATGGAATGCATGCTTCACCCACGGGATTATACTCATCCGTGCATCACGGAGAAACGCGCGAAAATTGTATACAAATCACGGCGGAACTGAACTTGTTGCGCGAAAAACATCAGTTTCGCTTTCACTCTTTACACTCTTCTAGGCATGAGTGTGTAAGCACTTCCCGACACTTTTAAAAATATTGGTTAATATTGGTCGTTGCGATCCAACGCGGAAGAATTGCGTTTGTCGATCGAAAGACTGCAAACTTGAGGTCTGATCGCGCGTTACTGTTCACCATCGATCGAATTTCGACTTTTTGACAGTCCTCGGTTCGATCGTACGCCTCGTGCTCCATTTCAACGTGTCTTCGCAACCTCGAAATGACGCGTGCAGAGAATTTGTTAGCGGCGATATTTCCAGAGTTTCGAAACCAACGATCGACCAGGAATTTTCGGGTGTTACGCGATGGACGTCACTGGCCATGGCATGAAAATCACATCGTGCAACAACTGAATCGGAGTGGTAGCAGTCGCAGAGGTAGTGGTCGGAACCACCTGTAACCCCAGCATCAGAATAATTTGATTTTAATTAGACGCATGGTACACGAATATACATTCGAATGACACATCTGTCGCTGCACGAGCAAAACAGATATGCCGTGACCAGTTTGCCACGCCCGGTTTTAAAAGTGTTTAAAACGCTGTCCTAAGGGTTCAAACACAAACCAATCTGATTTGTCAGAGTTTTACGAACCTTTGGTTTCCTCGTGTCCGAACATTTTAACGATTCGTTCGTTCACTTTTTTCGGTATACCTCGATGATACGATTGGTTAGCACTGCAACGTATTGCGTAACTCGCGACGACCGCGTAACACAGCGAAATAAGATGAAATCCGAGCAACACTCGTTGGACAACTTTAGAAATTAATACACGCGACAATTACTATCGGAACCGTTGCAATTACATCCGCAATCAAAATATGAAACGACATCGATGCACCCTTCCTGCTCCAGTATTACGCGACCATCGATGCGAACCGCTGACGCATGGGGGACTTTCGAGCCCCACTTTAACGGCGAAATCGACAATTTCCTTTCGCGTAAATTGCACGTACGACTGAAACATCATTTTTGTCTTTACACTTTGAACGAGATCCCGGCCTCGACTAGCCCAACGCGTTTCTGGATTGTAGCACATTTTCATTTTTTGTATTTTCTATATTTATTGCCGTAGTTGTTCCACGGAACATCAGTCTACGGTCACCGGGTGACACGTAATCGAATTCGGATGCACGTTACGATTTCACCGCGATTCATTTTTACGGTGATTACGAAATTTCGTAGACGAAAAACTATCATGATGAAACTGCTCGGGAGACTATATAGACTGGTCGACGAGCTTGCTGCACGGAGTTCGATAGACACTTAACCGTTTCAGCGTGGAAAGCAAAACCACGTGGACCGCCGCACGTCTACGCCCGGCCATCGTTTCACTTTCACTCCCAACCGTCTCGCGACCATGTGCTTCCTCAAACATAAATCGGCGGCGAGCGTCGCTTGTAGTGTTACTTTATTCGAATTACGCTCGTGATGCATTTCCTTGAAACGGTGACAATTAATGTAGGCGTAAATCTTTGCGTTTAACGAAATAAAGACGTATAATTATTAGTAGCCACTGTAGCAATGACAAACTCAATACATACAAATTATAACTCAATTTTGAGTTGTACAAACAACGTGGCTGTTAAAGATAAACGAGTCGGTTAACAAATAAATTATATGTTAGCTGATACTTTCATTTAGACATATTTCAATTGTCACATTTAAATCATCGAGGTTAAACGATAAAACGATTCTATACGCGGTATAACAGGAAAACACTTGAAAACGAATATACGGATTAGTCATTGCAAGCGATTTCGTTACTGTAAACTTTGCGCGGTCTACTTACCACGCAAACTTCTTCCTATTCGTTTTCTGACGAAACATAACCGAATGCAAGTAAACGTTATCGGAATCCTTCCTTCGTACATAGAACAGAAATTTCTCTCTGTTGCGTAGAGGACAAATATTTGCCACAGTTGTCGTCACGCAAACGACCTAATCTCTCGAGAAATTACTCTTCGAGGTATCAAAGGTGAATCAACTAGTGGCGTGGGTGGTACAAAGTGTAGCGGTGATTCCGAATATGTGAGTCATTCGAATTTCTACGAATCTCATTCAACATCTTTTTCGAACGCTTGAACGTGTAAGCGGAGGTGTTATGCAACGCGAGCATCCACCTGTCGTGGGTCAGTGATTCTCATCGCGTGAAAAATTGACAGAAATTAGGGATAAGTTGATCTTCGTGTCTAAAAATAATCGACGCTAAATTATTACGGAGAGAGTAACGGAAGATTTATACACGGAGAATGCGATTACGATTCTGAAACTTTTCGAAAAAATTTCGTGAGCACGACTAAACCTGGGTACTTTGAGTCCTCGATTGACCTCGCAGAGAAGACGTTCACAAATTTCTTTCACTTTCGAGAACCGCGACGACAGGCGGCAATTCTTCGTCAGCGATTCGAGCTATCGTTATGTTGCACGCGCATACAAACGGTATCGTTCTCCTTAATTCATTTATAGTGGTAACGGTCTGTTCCACCGTCTACTCACTTTATTTATTCGTTGCAAACACTTGTCAAGCCTGGCGGTCTTTGTTCATAGGACCTTGTACAATTCCTTCACACCCTGTCGCGTGAAATCGGGCCTGGTCTGCGAACTTCCAGACAACAGCAACAGCAATTTTTCTGGCGATATCGATGCTCGGTGAGGTAAATTTTCTAAAATTATATCCACGATTGGAAGGTCTGATTTATACGTAAAAGTGATATGTAAATGTTTAAAGAGATAATTCTAAATTCGACATGCGAACTTGGAAACACCGTACACCGACTGAACGCGAGTGTCTCTCGTTTGGACGTAACGCAGCAGCATGAACGATACAGAAGGAAAAGTAACGCAAGATGTAATTAAGCGTCAGTTCGCGTGTCAGTAAGGTTGACATCTTGTCTCGCGAGAACACTGAATTAATTCTACGCTTTTAACGCGTGGACTGCTCCTACATATTATTTAGAATATCGACAAGCTAGACTGCAAGAAGCTTAATTCGTAAAATGGCACACGATGCGTCGCTGATTTTATTCTTTATTCGTATATCTTATTACAAAATCGCATGCCGGTTTCTAGATAATTTTGAATCTTCGATGCAAATGTCATTGGTACAAAATTTCGACTACGCGTTATTATATAACGTAGTCGGGTCTGGTCTTACGTAACAGCTACGTAATGGATTATGAAACAATGACCGCAAGTCCTTCGACCTCGATAGAAATTTAGGAACTCGGTCAGTGTTTCGCTGATGAAACATTATCTACGAAATGGAATAGGAAACGGAATTGGAAAATGAAAAATTCTTGTCGAAAATGGACGCGTAAAGTGTTCGCGTGCATTCGTTACAAGTAAATGGACGAAATGAGTAAAAGACGCATTTAGTTTGTTACCTTTGTCGTTTATCGTGTATGAAAATAATGAATAATTTATCTAAGCTAAACGACAGCTTATCGTTTGCACTGACTCACCTAAAGCTTCTGGGAACTTACAACGCTGTTCATTATTAAAACTTCCTGGATACCATTCAAGTTTTCCAAACAAAGGCCATTCAAAATCTAACTTGTAACCCTGTATCGCATACCGTGTCAAGTCGTATTAAATTTCGTTGCGAAAATTTGACAGGATTTACACATGACGATTTCTTATAAGTTTCTTCGAAGAAAAAGTAAAATAGAGTTCGCCCGATAGAGGGTTAAATACCTAACGTGTCAATTGCTACCCCTACTCACGTTTGGAAGTTAGAAATTCTCTATCTCGGCTTCTACGACGCGCACCAATCTCTGCAATGCACCGAATAGATCACAGATGGCGAGCAAACGCTTAAGAACCAGTGCATCTTGTCGCGCGGCAGAACAGATACTACCGAGATGAGACTCTCCGCCTCTCGATACCTCGAATCAGTCTCGAAGGTCGTCCGTATTTTTACGAAAGATCTTGCGTACTATGGCTACCGTACATATTTACGAAATTCTACTGGTAGCCTTCTGACCCCACCCCCTGTTATATGGCCCAAGTGGGTTCTGAATCATGCCGCGGAGGAAAAATCCCGCGGCCGCTTCAAGATCCGCTCGACGACCTTCTTACGCGGAAAATTGGGCAACCGTATCCGAACGCAGTTTACGTAAACCAACCTTAACGATCTTTTTCTTAATCGATCGATACCTTTTCGTGATCAGAAAATAGCGATGAGCTCTGTTGGGATTCGCTTTACTGCTACTACTGCGAATAAAAATGGTTAAAAATAGTCGAATAGTAAAAATTGCGAACTTTACGGGCCAAGAGGTAATATTTAGAATATTACGAATGTATCATAAAAACGATACATTCACAGGTGGTTATTACTACTTAAAATAAACAGTTTAAATAAACATACGTTATGCAAATTCATGTAAATTAACATGAAAACATTACGGTCAATACAAAGATAAACTAAAGGGTGAATGTCCTTAGATGAAATAAAACTTGAGAAAAATATTGTTTACGCCGGTGAACTTTTTCGCATTAGACCTACTGTTTCGGTTGACTTTGTTGCAAAACAAAAGGCAGCTGGAAAGTTTTGTAGTGAATTTTGATTTAAAAATGTAACCTCCAACGGCACCTGGATAATAGCAAACTGTTATTCAGGTACGCGTAGCGCGATGCAGATCCACAGGCGATTCTAACCGATGAAGGTATTTAAGAGTTAAGACTCTTAACCGGAGACTTTGAACTTTGCAGAGTTAAATAGAAAGTTGAAGCAACAGCTACACGCGTCGAATGTAAGTTTATCCCGTTTATAAAACAGAGATAGGATCCATGCGATCTCCTCTCTTTTTGTGTTTGGTAAGATAGTTATTTGCGACACCCGAGCACTTTGTACCGTGGTAGAAAGAAACGCGTGGCCCTCGGCAACCAAGAAAGTGTCACGTATCTGGCATCATAATTGCTCATGATTCATCTCGCTCATCGATGATCCTAGAATGTTTAAAACTGTGTCAGTCGTCCACAACATTTAACGATCGTTCGATTGCGTAAATCGTGTCGTGTTCGTTTTTAACGAGAACGATGCAAACTACGTCTAATTTTTACGCCTATATATCGAAGAAGGACACTGTATCGATTTCCATATTCATCCTTGCGTCGTTTGTTTCTACAACTCTGTCAGTCGTTAACACCGCATCCTTCGGTGGTGCAATCGTCTAAACGTACCAACATTGAACCACGCAGGCAAGGATGTAAATCGTCTACTTTCTAAATTATTCGGCAACAATTTTTAAATGTTTGGCAAAATGCTTTCAGACACTATGAATAGTTCTGCATAACTGTTGCGGTATGTGCCTAAACGCTTGCGTAAGTTTGACGTTTATCAGCCAATAACAAACGTTGACGTGTTGCAACAAATCTCTTTCGGCGGTTCATTGCATTTGCATTCCTTCTGGTTTTCCATTTAACTTAATGTTTGAATAATGCTTTCACCGGACACGGAAGTCTAGAAGAACGATTGATAACCTTTCTCTACGTATGTATTCTTATCGGTGTACGATAATTAGAGGTATCCGTTATATAAATGAATAGTCGCAAACTTGAATGTTACGTGCGATCGAGTAATCGATGCTGTTGGCAAAATTTGATCAGACAATGTAGCAATTATCGGTAAAAACGATGCAATCGATCAATTTCCGTGCTATTTTAATGATGTATAGTAATAGCAACAATAACACACCATTATTTGGCTGGAAATATATAGAATATGAAATTCAGATTCAAGAGACATCGTTGCTAGTGTTCATTTTATAGCACGCATTGGGAGGTTCTGAAAGTAAAGGATAATTTTGGGTGGAATATTTTAGAAATTAAAACACTTTGATCTTTTTATTGGCTAGCAAAAGTTTCTTCCACTTTGAACATTCTTTCGTAAAAAATGTTCGATAACGCTGATCGCAAGAGGAACAATGAATTACTCTACCTACATCGCAAAATGATGTATAAGAGAATATTTCGAAAGTATTTTAATTTGTCTATACTATTGCGCTTGAACTTCCTGTTTTCGAGTAAGACGCGCAATCGACACGTGTAAAATGCAAACGCCAGTTTCTAAAACAAATGTGTCAGTGCATTCTCCTCGTCGTAAATTTATGTAGTCCATATATCTAGAAAGTATCTCACAAGTGTAACAGCAACTTCTCGTTAAGAGACAAATTGCACCGAGTTTTTACAAGGAAGTAACGAACAAATAATTTTTGCTTAGCAAAAATGTTGCTGCGTTCCAAACAATTGGCAATTTTTAAATCGCAGCAGGTGCTCGGCAGTTAGTTTTGCATGCAGCTGAAACGTTCCTTGGATAGTTATGTAGAAAGTACCAAGCGTTAACTAAAATACTGCGTTACAGTACATGTTTCTTGGGTACCGGACACGTGATCGCTGAACAATCGCTGTCGCAAACTTGTGAGTTTATGGCAGTTGATAAATGATTCGCAGCAGTCGTCGCGAGTCGGAAGTCGAGGAAACTAATCGTCCGATGGTTTTGCAACGCTTTACACGTCTGCCTTGTCCGCTTAAACTATCGTTGCGTGATTCGCGTACGGTTGTTCCCGTTAATATTCGATTGTCACGATAATCGAACGGAATTCCTTTCATGGAAAACCGTTTTCTCTGATAAATTGCTTAATAAATATCGCTAGTTGTACCTAAGGTTCTTCTAGTTTCTATCTAAATTGTAATTCTATCTTTGTGTTGCAGACTATGTTAGCGGGTCATCGAGGTCTTCCTTTTCACTCTTAGGTCGACCAAAATCCCCATGGAAATCCCTGAAGTAATCGTTGAGCAATTTCAGCGTCCTCGAGTGTCTCTTCTAGTGCGGATTGTCGGATGGCAAACCTTTGATAGCGAAAGTTCCACGGAAGAAGGGCTTGAACAGTTCTAGGAGCGTCTGTGTTCGGCGGGCTGAGTTCTGAAAAGCGTCAAGAAGATCGGTCTTGGATAAAACAACGGATCTGACCTGTGCTAATACGAGACCTTAATCGTTCATGGAAAGTTGATCGCGTGACATCGACGTTATTTACTCCGATTAAACGGATATTAAATGGATTTTTTGTTACATTTTCCCGAAGCAATACAACTCAGACGTCTGCAATTGAGAACGTCGCGACGATAATTGCAAACGATTTTGTAACTATGTTGTCGAGTGAAGGGTGATAGGTTTACGCCTATCAGCCGATCGCAGACTACAAAAATGGTATACGAGCAAAATAAATTAGAGCTAGGAGATCTCGATAACGCCCCATCCTCTGCAACTTTCAAACAGGAAAACGTTGCATCTCGCTTCGATGGCACTTTCGCGATCCAAAAGTCACTCTTTCACCGATTAAAGTCTCCGTCGCGTCGCGTCGGACAGGTCTCCAGGTAACGCGGTGGGTTTCACTTAAATCTGTTCGAATTAGAATTTTAACTTACAAGTATCACGCTACTGACGATTTTGCTGATATTGGTAATTACGGTAAAACCGCCACCGAACAAAGACGGTGGAACATCCAAGGACACTCTCATCCTATCGAACTCGGGTATATCCTCCGTAGTGGTTGAGATCGTTACCTGAACACACATAAAAGCAGCCAATGATAGTTCGCCTTTCACAATAATTTTTTTCTTCTTCGATCAAGCGGTCTTAAGGACTCGTTTCTACGCGTGTAATATTTATAGTACAGGATTTACGCTTCGACGCGATTATTGGTCGTTACATTACGGAAAATTCTGCTTCGCCTTTGGCGATTGTCAAATTCCTCGAATTGACAAACGATTTTTAATAAATCGATGCTCGATACGTTTAGTCGTCGTTATCTCGTTTATCGTACTCGCCGATCTTGAAAAGACGTGAAAGTAGAAACGTTGTTGTCAATTGCAAATCTACGTAGTAAAAGTTTTTCGTTAAATAAAGTTTGATTTACAATTTCTGAAGAAAGGAAGAGGACAAGGAGAAAGGATGTCGCGACGACGCTCGCAAAAAATTCGGGTATACGGCTGGTAGATACAAAAATACGTGATCGTGAGTTTATTTGACATTAACATCATCATTATCATCGCTATCCATATATCATCGTGTTATCGTTGTCATCGTCTATACTTGGAGAGTTTTGTTACCGTATTTACATCGTTGACACAGCGTCGAGGATTCGCGAGAATGGGCCTCGCGTAAAGATTATTCCTAAACCTATTTACAGCTTGCGCATCGGTGAACTGATTCATGGATACTTCTCGACGGTTTTTGCCCCCGGAAGTGGTAAAACGGAAGGGGGAGAAGTCTTGCGTCGCGCTCTAAACTTAGACTATTGTCGGGGAGGACTTTGTCACAGTGGGGGAAGAATCCTGTCATTTTAATGGCCCAGCTAGAAAGAAAAATCCACATCGTACAGTTTTGCCGTTGCAAACAAATTACGTTGCGTGTGCGTATAGTTTGGGATTTATGCGCGCCAAGGATCCTCTGTCAAGCGTTGCTGCTCTGTAGGCCTATTGGACGTGTCCAAAGTCCAAGGTCCAATTGTTGCACCCTCCGTTTTTTAAGCCGTTTAATACCCCGGTTGCGGTTGACCGTATTCGTACTGTTTTTGTATACAACACTCATTTTAATTGCCAATCCTAGTTACGTAATAAGAACGAAAGAATTCTGCGCTTGAAGGAGTGTCTCCGTGAAGAATCTTCCAAGCGCTCTGCGTGATTAATAGCCTCGTTTAAGCGTTAATTTTTTCCATCGCAAAGGAAATCCACCACAAACGAAAGTTACCCGTGATCTAAATGTAATATATATATCACCGCATGCAAATAACGATAAAAGCATCTTATCGCGTATTCAAGCATTCCGAGTTGAAACGTAACAAAATAATAGCTGTTCGCGTTTCTTTGATCAGCAAAGAGCGAAGCGACAGATGCATCGAAAAAATCGTAACAGATACAAATACATGAGAGACAGTTATTTTGATCCTACCCCTCCGCCTAAATTGGCGAACCCTCCAAGGTTAACTCCAACGCTGGCATCGTTCCCGTGCGAATCGGAACCTCCTCCGTTGTTCTGGTTCAAGGTCGACAGGGTACCCAGCTTCGAGCTCAAAATATTCCCCAAGATCCCGATTCCCGATCCTCCATGCCCGTCACCCGAGACTCCTAAATTTTAAGAATATATCGTTAAAACTCGGTCACCGTTATTATAAGAATGTTAGAAAATTATTCTAAATATGTTTAAAACTGTATAATATAGACGCCAATGAAACCGCTACTCGATTACCAGTTTATCCTACAGTTAGCCTACCTCTCTAAACAGGTATCGCGCTACGACACTTCTTAGTCAACACTTGTTTGTGTATATACACCGTAATAGTAACTATGTCGTACACATTATGTTTTATTCATTCCCTTAAGACCAAGAATATGTTACGAGATACACGAGATTGCTTATACGTGTTCGTCGAATAATTATTTTTAAGAATCTATCTATCTATTCTTACCTAGGCTCACCCCTGCACCCAACTCGGGTTTTGGACCAGCGGAGAGACTACTGACTATACCGCTGGAGAGCGAGCTGAGAGGCGCCAATTTCGAAGCGAACGCGTCGGCCAAACCGTTCTTAGCGCCGGCGAGGAATGTCGTGGCGCTATTTATCACGGGTCCGACGCTGCCGCTGGTTGCTTGGATCTTCGCAGCGACCAGGTCGTTAATGAACTTGCTAGTGGCCGAATGTTTCGTATCGATGCCGTACGCAGCATTCTTCGCTTTATTCGCGTCGTCCAACACGGCCAAGGCTTTGGTCTTCGAATCGATGAAGGAATCCAGTTTCTGAAACGCAAATTGAATTGTAACAGATGCTACCTTCTGCGCGCGAATAAACGAATCGATGTGGGAAACACTTTCGTCGAAAAATTTTATCTTACGCCGAAGACGAAGTTGATGATTCCGTTAGAGACGCCAAGCTTCACGACGCCGATCTTTCTTTTGTCCCTGTCGGACCTGTCATCGTCCAGCCCTTGTTCGTCGTCGGCTTCCACGACGTATACCTAATTTTATTTGTTTACTTAACCACATTGTTTGTCATATTACAACGACGAATAATACTTAAATAGATGGACAAATAGATAGACGAATAGACAAAGGCAAGAATAAGCGGTAGAATAGGCTTGACTTCGAAACGGCCGACCACGTGCGCGCACGGCACAGAATTTTAGTTACACTCGCGTATCCGGCTCCGCGTGTTTAACCGTTCGTATAGAGTTAACCACTTTCACTCTTCGCTCCTTCCTCGAGAATCGTGATTGTCTCTTTTTCCATTGGACTTCGTCTCCCGGATCTTCTTTCTCTCCTGTTAGCGCTTCATCTTTCACGCGACGCAATCAAACGCACACCTTTCCAAACTCGAAGGAATTTCGATTCACGAGTAAACGAAAAACAGTTTTTCCTCCATTATACGTTAGATCGAACAAAATTTTGAGTTATAGAATGAAATTTCACGGTGAAGGAATTCAAATTTGTCCGCATAACCGCTCGACCGAATTGCGTCACGGTAACGTGTCCGAACGTTGTTTTTCAAATTCGTCATCTATTATTCGAACGAAATCTTGCCCATCTGTGCTTCGAAGCACAATCCGATCGTTGTTCTCGTATGGAAGACGGTAAGATAATAAAACTTTGAAATACGCGCTTTCACTTTCGCCATTCTCGACACGTTCTGTTTATGAGTTACATTTTGATTCCAGACGCGATACGTAACGATTACTGCCACCATACCAGACTGTTTTATCGACTTTTTCACTGCTGTATAGCATTCTTCTTTTGAAGCTACAAAGAGAGGGACTTTGGCAATTTAGACTTTCTAATTAATTTACCGACTCGAAGCAGCGGAAAGGTTTGAATCGTTCGCGAGATAAAAGTTAAGCGAGTTTCGACAAATTTTAAGATAACGATTAATCTTTAAAACGGTTAACGAGGTTCTTACCTCGTTGAATGGACTCAGATCCTCCGACTCTGCTTCTCTCTTGACGACAGGACTGGAAGCGACAAACGCGACCGCCAAAGACAGGCCGATAAGCACACAGGTTATCCTCATTTTTCTTACTCCTCGTCCGCTTTTTGCGATTCGGTTTGTTTGCTCTGAGGAAAACGATGTATCGTAAGTAGACGGAATTACTATTTCGCCTAAGAGTAGCACCACTCTTGGGTACCAAGCCGAAATGTCAAGTGAAAGGACCTCGAAGTGGACACGATTAATTGGTTTAGACCATTGAATCTCGTCGTAACTTGAAAACTTGATCAACGAAGAATGACTCTGTTCGACAACTATATTGCCTTTCCAAATATTCAAAGTAAAAGGTACTTCAGAGTTTGACGTAGAAATGATCAACGTCACGGTAGCGTGTATCTATCCTATACGCAGCGATAGGTGCGATTACTTATTGTATTAATTGACAAAACGTCGAAAGTAGCAACGTGCGATGGTAATAAGAAAGAACTAACTAAACAGGCACGATCCAAGTTAAATGTTCGAGTACATAGAAATTGCTTATTCGCGATTGATCGAATTACTTGGTTAGATTTGTCACAAGCGAGAATGAAACATCAGAAACATGCTGTGACAGAACATGAACACAAAACATGAGTGACTCGAAGCGGCTGTCAAAGCGAAGAACGAGCGTCGAGGAAGCGGTCACGTGGCGATATTCAGAGAAAAATAACTAACACGACGAATTTGTGATCAACTTACGAGCGAGGTTGTGCGGTTGCAATTGCGCGAGGAGATGTGTGCTTGACGGAGCGCGAGCCTCGTTTGAGGACCACGGTGAAGGAGATCCCGATGTCTTTAACCGGCCGAAGGGGAACGAAGGCGAGCATGTGTGCCCCTTCGAGAATCGAGAATCGAGAATCGTGGATCGAGCTTCGAGAATCGCGGGCCTCGCCTGCCTCAGGTGGGGCACGTTCGATTTCCTCCGCGAATCCCACGCAGCCTCGTTCTCTCGGCACTTGGAATCGCTGGATTTGTCCCGCAGAAGGGATTCGAGCGTGCCGATACGCGGTCATTACGTAACCAAGACACACAGGGGAAGACGGTCTCGATCGGCGTGGTAGGAAACGACCTACGATCTATTACGGGGAAGCGGCAAATTTCAAAACATATCTTACACACAACGACAAAATTCGAACGTTCGCGCTCGTCGAGATCGGGAATGATGTGGTGGGGCTGCCAGCGAGCAGAATCGAAAATGTCGCAATTGTACGACTGTGAAAGGAAAAAATAATAGCAAAACCGAATGTCTCGAGTAGTCAAAATTGAGGAAGAAGCTACACCGATAGGATCGGTCCAACAACACACTCGTTAACATTGTATCAATTTCCAACTATAACTACCAACTGTAACATCGCAAATGGTAATTATGATATTTTTACATCTTGTTCCTCATCTTTTAAACATACAATCCTTGCGTTCATTTTGTAACGTATTAGTAATATGCAAATTCTGAGATATCGTTATCCAGATACCAACCTGTTTTCTGCATAATTATTGTACTCAATTTTCGTTTAATCGAACGCTGAAATAAAATTGCAGTAAGGTGAACTTGTTGGCATTTCTTGTAGGGTCGATACAATTCGGAGATCCTCGTCGAGATAACGATCTACTATCAGAATTGCGAATTAAAGGATGCTAATATAAAATAGATAAACAACTTAAACGACTTGAACTCTATCGTGTGAATATGGATTATTGGTAATTCTGTACTCGAGAAATACATCTTTCTCGTCCTCTTTTATGTCTTTTAAAAATACAGTCCTTGCGCTCATTTAGTAATGCGCGCGTATACGAAGACAATATGTAAATTCTGAGACGTCTTTGTCCTGATTTCAATTTGTTTTCGGTATATTTATCGTAGTTCACGGGCTGTTCTCGTTTACGAGTTAATCATAATTAGCCATATGTACTTGTCAGGGTAAATTCCATAAATTTTACAATTCCGCGAATAACGTCGTACTTGTTTATTTTCCCTCTGGCGTATTTATATAATTCCACCAGTAACAAGGAAAGTCAGAACAGCCGTATATTATTATATAATTATACATTTATACGCGGGGCGACGCATTCTTCTCTCCCGATACAACGATTCTATACCAAAATAGACAACATTCCAGATTATACGGTCCATAAATCGCTCGTGTCGTATCGATTATCGAGAACGTTGCTACCATCGCGATTATCGTGTTGCAATTTCATTTTCAAATACAGACAAGGTGCACCCGACTGCCGCTTTCTCGCAGCATTATCTCATACGACACCGGAGCATCGTAACGACGATTACGCAACGTCCAGTTTCACCAAATTGGACCATTCGTCTTTCTCACTTTACATATTGCGATATGAGTCGTCGCTGACCGAAACGTGACAAAACTTTGACACGTCTTTACGTATCGTTGCGATCTAATTACGCTAATTAAAACAGCAGACGGAACCCGTAACGAGGCGCGACATTGTTTTAAAGGGTATCGCAACCGTTGTTCCTGCAATTAGCCCCGGGTTAACCGTCGACGTTTTCTCGTGTTAAGTGGCCGTTTCGTTTCGTGAATCGACTTTTTATTAACCATCGAAACGTTTCGTGTCTACCACAAATCGCTATGTTTATTTTAAAACCTGCTATTTACGATAATAGAGAGAAACGAGATCCATTTGTCTAGCTGTTATCGCGCTCGGTCGGGTCGACTCCGACAGAGAAAGCTAATCGGGACAACCTACATATTTACCTTGGCCATAATTTTGACGATGCTATGGACTTTTGGGTCACATAAAATTTAAAAGAAGACGAGGGAAACGTTTTCAACTATACCGCCCACGAGAATCAAAGCACGTATTTTAATTTTCAAGGTGATACAGGGCAATGCCTTTTACGGAGAAGCGAAATTATGTAAATTCCAGTGCAAGAAGGGCTACTCTGTCTCACGTTTCGGGCAACACTTGCGCAAGGAATCCTGTTGGTTCCAGTTTGTCGTCTCAAAACTCATTGTTCCTAATACTAATCACGTACAGAGGAAGAGATCGATTCTCTGGAAACGCGTTCCGAAAGTGTATCCTCATGGTCGGGCGGAGCGGTTGCTTTTGTAGGTGAATCATTGGATTAGAATAATTTTACGACTATTGCGTGAACCGTTATCGTTATCCTGACCCAGGAATTTGAAAATAGATATCTTAAAAAGTACGAGGCTATTTAGAAAGGAGGTGATATTTCATCATCGGTGATTGTCGCTTTATTAGCGAGAAAGATGGAAAGACGTACGCCGTTGAAGTCGAAACGTAATATTTCACCAATCATGATTCAACGTAATTTTCAAACGACGAGAAAACTGCGGCCATCGAAACAACGTATGATGGGAACAAACGCGTAAGTAGTACAGCTATTATGTGGTCAGACTGTCGTCCGTCTCTACTTGTCGTGTGGTGCCACACCGCGCCCAGATGCGTAAATACACCAGGTATTTCAACCGCGAATAGACGCAACTTTCCATCTTAAAAGAGAAGTAGAAAAAGAGAGAAAATGTTTCTGTATTATATGCTTCAGAACTAGAATTCGTAAGAGCATTTGTTCGAAAATACGTATGTTAAACGTAAAGAAAAAAACAATTCTTATATCTATAACGGATATTTTCCTACAGCGGGATGGCAAGATGTGAAATTCGCAAACACGGAGATAAATTTCTAGTAATTCGTTTTATGAAAAATAAAAAGTACCGAGTTTATTGGAGAAGCCGGAAGGCAAGCACTTATGTAACACACTCGAAGGTATCGTTTGACCAATGCGAAACTTGATAGCCTTCGAGAAAGGAACAGGATGTCCCTTCTCATGAATTTCGCAAATGGAACGACCATTTTTATGGACCCCGGACAAAATTGGGGTTCGGAACAAGGCGAAATGCATCCCGTATGTAAGAAAGTTATGCAACAAGCGAGCCTCGAACGGAAAGTGGATGCTCCGAGTTCTCTCGTTTCACTCAACCAGTCGAGCACGATTAAATTGTAACCGCTTGATGTACCGCTAGCAATGATATATTTCGCCCAATGAATTCAATCAACGCAGCGAAACGTAATGACGTAATACATTACATCGCCTGACATTTCTTGGAAACAAAAGTAGAAATTGCATCGAAATTTACCTCTTATTTTTCGCATTATACGACGAGGAAAAACCGCAGATGGCCTCCAAGATTTCTGCAACGTGAAAGTTGCAGCCAACTTTCTATCAACGAAGAAACTTATCGGAAATATTCAAAAAATTTATAAATTTAAATAGAAGTTAGCACCGGAAATGGATTCGACCCGCAAAATCCAGAAAAAGCACAGCTTTTACTTTAAGACACGTATACATCATTAATTTTCCTTGTCATCTTAAACATATAACTAGATAGAGATAGCGTTTACTTACTCGGTATCGATGTCCTAGAAGCGTCCCTTCCAAAGATTGGACCTCACAGTTCACCACGGTATCGCAACGTGTCGAACACGTGGTATTCGCGCACTCGGTAACTCTTACGTTATACGATGCTCGATCGACGCACCATGTCATAGATTAAAAGGTTCGTCGATAAGCATCTAACACGATCACCAACAGTTGTAACACGTTCAACAAAAACTGTATCGATAACCGGAAAGGACGAAATATCGAAGTCACTTTGTGATCGAGCAAAGATCGGTTTTGAAAAGAGACCGGTCGAGCACAAAACTGATATCTCCGACTCTCGATGAGAAGTGCCTTGTAGAGCCCACAGAAGCCTTCGAGTTTTCGTCAACTGGCTCTAAAGCGACGATAATCGGTGCAATCCTCTCTGATCGACGTGAAAAAGAGCGTATCGGGCGCTCGATACGTCTAAACTCGATACGCGTCGTCTCGATGGAGGAATAGAAGCGAAGAGACCGTCGCCACCGAACGCTAAGGAAAGTCGTCACGGGGAAATTGGTAGAACGAAACGTAGGCTACTCTACCGATGGCGTCGGAGGTGGGCGAAATTTATGGCGTAATTCCAACGCCGCGTGACTCAAGGCGGGCCAGCTTTTTTTCGACGCGCGTTTCCTGGCACAAGTGGATTGACATGGCATGTAATCAGGAAAACGTTTACGATAGAACCTCCGTTATACCAACTGTGCGACACGCGTCGTATCAGATTATGGAATGCTCGTACAAGAATACACTTGCTCGTGCTCGATAACAACTGTTTGTGTTTCAGAAAGCATTACATAAAATTCGTAACGGAGAACGGAACGGAGATGCGTAAGTGAACGACTTGAAAATACAGATTGTGTGGAGACGATGAACGCACCTGTGCAATGAAACAATTTTCTCAGAAATTTATGGTCCCGTATTATTTTAAACGTCCAATTGGCGTGCATGATTTTGGAACAATTAAACACGCGACGCTACATTTTGCACTCCTGCCGTGTAATAATTTCGTGAATCGCGTAGCGTTGTTTCAACCCACTTTCACGCGATTCGGGCGAAACCAGTTCTTTATTCATTGTTCCAGTTTCGTTATCCACTTTCTTGGCTGATTCGAATAGATCTTGACTGTGATGATTCGCGGAGGTGCCCTTGCCACGACCCTCCTGCGAATCGATCGTGTGCTCGATCGAGTTCAAAGAGCTCTCGTCGCTTTCGCTTTCACGAGTTCGCACGGTCACGACAGAAACCGCGATGAGAGGTTCCGTTCTAGAAAGGCCAGCGAGCTTCCTTGACGATTGGGTCGAATGCTTTTACGTAACGTTGCTGCGCGCGTGACTGGGTGTTACACGTATGTATCCTTTTGTACCTGTATTAGCGTGTAGTAGCTACTTGCACGAGTATAAGTGCGCTTTGGTGGTAACGGGTTCGACGGATGCACCTCTGAGAAAGCTCCGAAGAACAACTATAAAAATATAAACAATTACAACATGTTCCTCGATGGTTACTCGAATGAAAGGTGTTTAATTAACCTACATTTTTAGAACTACATGGTTTCATAAATCGCCTCGCAAGGTTCGAAAATAATATTCGGCTGTTAAACTATGCCTCGCGAGTCTGAGACGGTTCGTACCCATCGCTACGTATATGTATATCAGCTTACACGCCGAATAAATAAATCGTCTTTACTTTCTCCGGTTAGCTCGACCACGGAACTTCTGACACTCGTTATTTTTACGAATCGCAGCGACTACGTGTTTATAAACATCCGTATCTCTCAACGCGTTCGAGAATTACGTCGTCGTGGTGCTTTATTTTCGCAATACAGCGAGTGTTACGACATTGGCGCGAGCTTTTTCCCGACTGGAGAAAGTCGAATATTTGTATAATTTCTCTATGGAACGATCCCAGCTAGGGATAAATATATTCTGCGTTAATAAAACAAGCGTAAAGGAAAGCGGAGTGTTTTAGTACTTCTAATTACGTCATAAGACGAGGATAACGAAATGCGAGTAAAAAATTCCCAAGGAAAGTGCGTCGATTAGAATGACCGCGCCGCGCGCCGGCGCCGCGCCGCCGTGGTGAACCGCGTACGCAACGGTAATTGGTGCGATAAAGTTGCTGTGACGGAACGCGGACACTTTTTCGGACTTGTCAATTGGTGCTCTATGACTCCTATTAATATTTAAACATCGTGACACTTGGAAATGTTTGTACAATTCATCTGCATTTCATTCTAGAAGAGCGTTGCACGAGCATGTTTAGCGAATTACTCGGCCTGCGGGGATGAGTCAATTTTGCACGCTAAGATTGCGTGTATAATTGCACGATACACGTTTTCTTCTATGCAGGCGCCGCATACGGTGCAACAAAGGCATCCGTTCGACGGTCGCGTTTCGCAAGTCGGTTCTCTTCCTCTTTTCAAGTTATTTTACTGGGATTGGGATATTAATTGCTCGACTAATTATTCGCGAATGGTGTGGAATATACATTAGAAACATCAATGACTAATGGACGCTTTCAATTAGAAACCAATCGTACGGGATGCTGAGAGGCATCTGTGGTAGCTCGAAGGATTTGTTCTTAGAAAGTAGCATTTCCTATTGTAAACGGTACCGAACAAAATTGCGTTTTCTATTCAAAAAACCCTGGCCTACAATGCTCGCCTATAACGCGACGTGCGATGTCCGTGTGCGTCCTTGCAATAATTTTATCAACTCGTTGCGTAATGCTGCATGATCTGTGTATGTAATTACTATACCAGCGATTTACCAAAGTGAATCTTTTCAGTCTCTTCGACAAAGATAAAGCATATCTCCGGCGAAGAAGTTGATATCACGGAAAAAGTTTTCAGCTGTTCGATGCTGGATTACGTAACAACGATTCTTATTATGTGCCATCAAATTGATCGAACGTTCGTGGGATTCGTACCGATGCGGTGGGCGGATGGAAAGTAATCTACAGGAGACGCGGTGTAAAAATCCTTCGGATCGCATGATTGCGTAACTCGCGAATGTGTGAAATTTCCGGATGAAAGGGTACACAGTCCCAGACCTTAAACTTTCCGGCTACTACTCACGGTATTTCAGCTGCTTGAAAAAGGAATTCTGCGTAACATGGAATTATCTCTAATTTGGGACGATGAAAGAGTAATTAAGTAAAACGTAAAACGATAACAATTAAGTATTATAATGATACAGTTCGTACATTGTTTGATATATTTTATATTATGTACAACCGAGCTACCGGAACGATTACGAAAATTGAGCTCCTCTCCTGCCGAATGGTGATACTAGCATAAACTCTATTACGTATCAATTATAATTTAAAAAAACGAGAGTGTATCGACGATAAACGAGTTATTATTACATGTGTGATTTCAACGTTCATTTGACATTTGAGATGACGATTGCTGCAGCACGCGTAAAAAAAAAGAGAACAATTAAAGCTATAATTTTCTTAATTAAGTAATTTATATTTATAAATCCCCGTAACTAGTAGATACAAGACCCCATATTCACTGCTTAATTGCTGCTTTAGGACTGGAAGAACGATACTTACGACACTCGCAATTATCGTCGCAGTTATTAATTCGCCTTTCGTTTGCTTTGCGTAAATTAAGTAGAAACATGTCTTTATTATGCACAGCGTAATTTTTATTATCTCAATCGCAGAGCAAATGAATCGAAAGTATTTCGACAGCCAAATTATTAGTGGTAACAAAGAGATTTAGACTTTAAAAAATCACCTCGTTACACGTCGTTATTTTCACCCTTAATGTTTATTTTCTAAAGCTATTAATCACGGATGCTGCCTCGCTTTTAACGATTAAACCGGCATTGTCGTATGAATCGATTAATAGCACGCAGTACTTGGTAATCAGGTTAGATGAATGCACACGGTATTGTTTCACTTGAACAACCACTGGTTTCACAAAAACGTTAACAGCGACAAAAAGCAATTTCGAAATGGTCTTAGATTTGCATATGTCCTTATTTAACAGAATATAAGAACAGATTGACACGGATATTTGTTATTTAATAGCTTCTTCATGTTCATAGTCGGGAAGATACGATGTTTCTCAAGGTCCGCGAAACTGGTAATTAGGCTGAAAAAGAAATTGATCGATTAGATATTGAGGCAGTTAAACAAGATACATAACAAAGCGAAGGAAAAACTAGCAGAATGAGAACGATACTTTTTAACTAGTAGCTATTTGTCAACAACCGTAAGGTTATTGTCTGATTAATATACGTGAATGCATGTGTTGAATAGGTAACTTTTTCCTTTTCTTTTTGCACACAATAAAAACGTATAATAATAATAATGGTAATGGTAATAATAATAAAAGCTAATTTATAAACGTCGTTACGAAAGAAAACGGTGAGACCTGATTATGAATATTTATAGAGTTAACATTACAAGAGACGCGAAATCTAAAATGGTTATAAAGCGATTAATTAGCTGCATCTTTTGCAACCGATTCGCTTCTCGCGGAGACACGACTTTTCGTTTACGTCACAGAAATTTACAACGTATTCTTTTCGAAAGATAGACAAGAATTAGAACGTAGCCGAACCAGTTGCACAGCTCAAAATGTTACAGACGACAGCTACAGTGAAAAAGTTTCGCAAATGCGGTCCAAGGGTCAAATGACGTTTTCGCAACGCCAAAAATTCCGGCTTTCTTTTCAGAATGGAAAGTAAATGGCCTTCGAAACCAGCGTTCAGTCTCTGTGACACACAGTTCTCTATAAGATAAAGCTCAATACAAATCAATTACGAGGAGAATGCCACGACCAATATTAGATCTCTTCGATCGCGTGAATCATATACGGTCAGCGTTAACGGGAATTCGCTGGTACCACCATGACTTTCACGATTCGATAAAGATATTGGCAAGTGTAAGAGGTAAGAACAGGTAACATGCAAACTGTGTCGCGAACAAACGGAAAAATCATGATCATCCGCAGTTGTTCATAAGTCAAACGGTGAAATGTACTTTCACCTTTCAGCTTGGAAAGGTTTCCGATCGATAATTAACGTTGGGTTGAAAAGCGAGTTCATTTTTTTGAAGATGATGAAATAGGTTTCGTCAAATTACTTAGCAGCCTGTTTGTTTACCGTAAAAGTTTTGCATCCGTTGCGAAAATTTCGACTTATCGGCCATGCTTTTAATTCACCAGGCCTCGCAGATTAGTCGTAATCGAGGTGAAATCGAGAGGTGCATCAATTAATCGACTCTGTGTCGTCACGCAATGCGATTGCCACACAAATGTTGCAAAATATACGTTGGATCGCATTCGTGTACAAGATATGTTCTAAATACTGAACTCGTAGACAAAAACTTTTAAGTGTATTTTTCCCAGAATTATATGTAATAAAAGTGTAGTAAATCGTCTCGAATGATTCGAAACATTACACCGTAATATTAATGATAACAAAATAGAGCAAGATATTTCCATGACGATTTGTACTCCTTGTAGAAATTAATTTCGATCGTCGCTGAAGCGATTAAATTCAATTCACCTAACTCCGTAGGCGGAGAGAGTCGATCAACGACTCGATCCTCTCCTTTTCAGGAAGACAATCGTTGCGTCACGTGTAAAATTGCATCTGTCTTGTTCGCTAGCGGAACGTCCGGTTTTGTTTTAGCCCCCTTTTCCAAATCATGTAATCCGTAATCGCGTAACGCGTCATACACGTCACTATACAGACGTATAGTGATGCACACGCACCGCCACTTTTGGACGACTTGTCTTGGAATATTTCGCGGAATAATATCTCTCCCCCGATGCAAAGTAGGTAATTTTTCAAAGTCCGTCCTCTCCATCCATAAACTGCATTTTGAATATTTCACCGATATTGCCTAATCGAGAGTATATCGATGCAAGGATTTATATGTTTGATTTTGTACTTATAAGCTGTTTGAAAGTAGTAAAGAGGGTAGTAAAGGAAACTGGTTGCTAGTTTCAGTTTGTGACAGTCGATGTCGACAACCCGTCGTTAGGCACAGAAGTGTAGCGAGACGGAGCTCGAATTAAGACGTTTAAACGTCCCATGGTTCCATGCGTCCCATGGTTGATAAGAAGCCACGGGTGAAAAAGCGAGTCGCGTTTGATCGATCGTAACGAATCGAAGTCAAACCAGGTCGAATTGAAAGTAACTCTGGTCGATGACGTGTCTTGCATCCTTGGATTATCGCGCGTTCGTAATAAATAATTACCTGTGTACCCACGTAATTTCAATAGTTGCAAGGTAAACGCAAAATAATCATTTTACATTTTGCGTTACTGATAAGAATTCGCCTACGAATTTATTTCGATCAAGGACGGGATGTTTCAGGTTTGAAAAAGTCCTGATCCTCTTTCCAATTTAATCTCTTCGGAGACAAATCGATATATAAATAAAGGAAACGTTTAATATACCTACGCGATAGCAACGAACTCGGCTTTATTGTTCACAAGTTACGTTTATACAAAGGAAAATACTTGATCGCAGCGGTTCTAAAACTTTTTGCTAAAATGATACGGCGAAGAGATTAACTGGAAAATCTTAACTCGACGAGCTCGATGTTTTTTTTTATAATAGGCGCTTGATTTTCGTTCAAAGTTCACCGTTAATTAAAGTAATTGCACTGAATGTATTTGTCGGTTAACTTTCTGGAATGAGTATTAGTCGAATGGAAAATATATGTATTTAAAGGGTTGTTGTTAGTTTAGTTCCCCGTTGCGGCGCACGAAAATTCCCGATCGAAGTATCTCTCGGAGGGACCGCGTAAGAGGATGGTGTGCCAGAGGGATGCGGTACACCATAGGTACCACGCGGTGGACCATAAGTAGGTTCTGGTTCCTGAGAACTGTTTGAGGAAGCAGTCAGGAGTCCCGTGAATGAGGTTATTAAGGAGGCGACCAGTTTTAGTACCGCGTTAATGATGTCTTTGATCGAAGAACCTAGCATGGCGAACGAGTTTGTGTTCATCGATGGGCTGCCTTGCTGGAAAGTTGATAAGTACAATGTAATGAGAAGACAGCGAATCACGAGAATGTTTTTGGAGTCTAGGTAGAGGGGCGTAGGATATTTTTCGAGTCTTCCAAGTGCGGAGAGAAAGAAAAGGAAGAAAAAGTGAATAGAAGAAGAAGAACGACTGGATAAACAGAGAAAGAGGCTCTGCGAATACTCACAGGATAATAAGAAGTACCTCCGCCACCGTTGCCGCCACCAGAATCGCCACCGTAGCTCGTAGGGGCACCGTAAGAGTCTCTTGGACCACTGGATCCTGCGCTGGTACCGGCGACCGATCCTGCGACCACCGCTTTCACGAGACTCGTTATGTCGGATTTCCCTTTGCCGTTCGAGGAAATCTGGAAGAGATCCAAAAATAAGTTCCTGGACGATATTTAACATTGAATAGCAGTCACTTTTCAATGGTCATTATTTTTTATTTATTTTCTAAATACGATATTTATTTCTACGACTATTCGCTGAACGAAGAACTGGGTTAAATCGAGACATTGGTTCACGATGGTATATACGACACTGATTTATTGATAAAACGATCGATTTATTGACTGAAGACAAATGCTTGTTAACAGAAAGATCAATGCGTACTTTGCTAAGATTAGAGACGATTCCGGCGATCAATTTAGACAGTTGACTCATCTTGCCGGGTCCAGTTGGCTGAAAATAAAAGTAGACAATGAGAATTGTATTCGACCGTGACGTTACTTTCAAAGAAATTACATAAATGATAACAATCACCTCGAGTAAAGGTCCCAGTAGAGTTTTTATCAAGTTCGCAGCAGAGGATCCACCGTTACCCGGAGGCTGAAATTCACGCGTTACCCTTCCGACATTAACGAACGGTAGATAATCCATAATTCTAAAAATATAATCAAAATATAAAGATTAGCGGCAGCAGATGACAATTGAATCGTAAACAAGAATTACGATTTGCGTTTCGACCTGGATGAGTGCACGAATGATAACATAAACATACCCGTGTCTGATAAATTCTAATTCTTGTTTACGATTCATTTTGTATTAACCGCCGATAGTCCTTGCATTTTGATTATCGGTGACTAACAATAAGTCTAGCTAAAATCACTTATTCTACATGCCTAATTCTAAGGGAAATGTTTCTATTTACTTTGCTGCTTTGACGGCTCAATGGCACTAGTAGAGGACCGACGAGAGGACCGATCAACGGTGCGCTCAATTGGAGGAGAGGCGTCAAGATCGCTGCCGAGTCTCTCTGCCCATCTGGGCCCTAAAACAGATTTCTTTACTTGCTTTGATTGAAATGTTTACCTCCTGTCGCTCGATATCTCGCGTATTTTAAAAGCCAACTTTAAAGAAACTTGGCAACTCACTTCGCTAAACTGCAACAAGATCGGTACCAACAATCCAGGGATGTCGTAGCCTGGATTCTCTCCGTCTCCCTAAAAATTTGAACGATTCACCTTTACGAATGATTCGTCCTTATTCAACCTGTCTTTGTTTCTTGTTGAAACATTTACCTCTGACAGCTCTTGCAGAATCGGAAGAGCTCCATTGAGCACGTCGGCGATATCGGCGTCAGACTCAGGCTAAAAGAAGAACGAGGCGCGTTGCTATTGAAAATACGATATGTAAACAGTCGCGTATTATAACCGTAAACCACGAAGGTCATCGGCAATCTTACGTCGCTAAGATCTTCCAAAATTGGAGCGGCAAGTTGAAACAATTCGATTACAGCTTGAACGGAACCACCACCCTCTTCCTCATCATCATCGTCGTAGTCGCTCGAATCACCACTCTCGTCGGAGCTATTCTCCTTCGATCCATTATTTTCGTCCCCACCGTTTGTTTCGACGTCGTCGTCGCTTTCGTTGCTCTTCTTCTCGCTACTATCGTTATCGTCGTCGTTGTCGTCGTCGTCCTATAAATCCGAATTTTCTTTAGCTAGTCGGCTACAAAATACCCGATAAGATACGTATGATCGATAACAAACGTACCTCCAATTGTTGCGCCAAAGTCGTCTGATTACGTTTCCCATGTCTCAACGATGACTGAAATAAACGCAAAGTTGGACATTAATCGATTAATTTTACTCGCACGATTCGGTGACCAACGAAAACGAAACGGCGAACATCGTTGGCGTTGATCTTTCGAGGGCGAGTGCGAATCGATCAAGCGAACAGCAAGAACGCAGACACGTAACGTAATGTTGTGTCAAAATGGTACTTTCGTAGCTGTTTTTGACACGATTCGCAATAAAGCAACCGAAGAGTTCTTTTATTCCATGGAACGAACATTTCTCGTCGCAAAAATGACGTAATCTTTACGTATCCCGTAATCGCACCCGTTTACATCTTTCCTTTCACTGTTTTAATTATCTTAAACTACAGCTGTCGTTTATTCCATCTTTCTCTCAACTCGAGCTGCTTGACTCGCGCGTTCCTTTCTCCGTATAAATCGATAGGTACAATTAGCGGACCTCTGTCCCGGTTGTACTCGGCTTACTTTTACTCGATTTCGATTCTTACCGGCCGCTCGGTGGAAACTTGCGTCCTCTGTGGCGTCTGGAGCTTTTGGTTCGCTTGAAACGTCTGAGGTGTTAACGGAGGCGGTGTCAGATCCACGGGAAGACTGTTATTTCTCCTGAGCGACAGGAACGCTTTAATGAGACGGCTGATCGTCGACGGTCGTTTGGGCGTTGTTTTCTGACTCTTGGTTTGTTGCTTACTCGAGTTGTCCTTTTTCTTCTCTTGCTTCTTTCTTTGCTCCTTGCGTGTTCCGCCCTTGGCTTCGGTCACTTGACTGCCGTCATCGAACACAACGTTGATCTGTCCCGACTCATTCGTTACGGTGTAATTCGTATCGAAATACGGAGGGAAACGATCCGGTGGATCTCTGGTCGGTAACACGTAGTACATGTCTTTCTCGGTTCTTAATGTCGTCTGTTCATCGGGTTCGTCCCGCGTGATCGTAATTACCGCCTCGAAAGGGACCCTGAAGAGCGGTTTCAACGAATTCGACAAGTTGGTCTGCGTGGTTAGATCCACGCTCTTTACCGGCACTGGAATTTCTTCGTTGAAGATCGACGGCCTGAGTGTGGTGGTGAACAGGAGGTCCGAAGGAAGAACGCCAAGGTTGCTGGAGACGTTCCTCTCGACACCGTCAAAAAAGTATCTCGTGACAAACGGATCGCTTGGGAATTTGATGGTATCGGTGGTTGTCACGGGAAGATAGTTCCTCGGGGGCGGCGAAACCGCGTTCGCGTTTCGAAAGATATCGTTACCCTTGAAATCTAAAGCGGGTCCAAGCTCCGGAAACGGAGGAACGAACTGCTGATCGTTCGTCAACTTGAAGGAATTCGCTACGTCGAAGATTCCCTTGAAACCTTGTTCCTTGATTCTCGACTTTGGAACGTTAATGTTCGCGGTTATCGCCAGAGGACTATGGACGGTGGTGTCTGCGATGCCGAACGTTGCAAAAGTCGAATACGTCTTTCGATTGTCGAATCCAGCGGTCGTCGAACTTGGCAAGTTTTGAATAGCGATCAATTTTTCTTTTGGCGAGGAGACATTCCCGATTCTGGATGTCGTTTTGCCCTTTTCGGGATATCTACTCGTCTCCAAAGGCCGGACGGTCCCAAAATTTGTAGCGTGCTCAAACTTGTTTGAGTTCTCGAGATTTCTAATATTCTCCGCGTATCTAGATTTTTCAAAGTTCTTTCCGATCGCGAAAGCTCGAATGTTCCCGTCTTGCTTGACGTTTTCCACGCCTCTGAATCCCGAGTAAACGTTGTTCAACTGTTTTATGTTGTCCGACTTTTCGACGCTTTCGGAACTCTTTGGCGTTTCCTTCACCGCAGCCAACGTAATGTTTATCTTCGAAGCCATCAAGCCCATTACGTACTTGGCCCAGGCCACTAGATCATCCTTCGACGCAATCTTCAGCGGGAGCTGGATCTCCAGAATCTTTGGAACGCTGAAAAATCCGTTTGTTCCATCGCTAGAGACGGTCTCGGGCGAGCGCTTAGCGAGAGGCGCGGGCATCGAAATCACCAGGTTCGTCGCTAGGAGCGCGAGCACCGGGTAGGATCTCGGTAACCTTCTCGAAAGTAGAAAAATCATTCTGTATAGGTTTCCTTTGTGTCCGTAACGATAACGATCTCTTCAACGACAGCAAAAATATATTGGCACTCGTTTTCAATGGTCGTACAACGTCCATTCCACACACGCGGCGCACCTTGCGACTCGATCATCGATCGCTGCGTCGCTTTTCAAGAATCGGTTGGCTACAATTCGAATACCGCGTTCCTCATGTTTAACGACAAGAGTCGTTTCGTTCGAGACCGAACAAACGGAAAATAGAAAATGAAAAATCAATCGTAGAACGCGACGGTAAAACTGAAAGGATGCGTCGAAAAATGATTGTTTTATAGTGGTTGGACAATCGATCGCCCCTTTCCTTCCTGATCGTGGAAGCGTGCACTTTTTCCATGCACCGTCCACCTCGATCGGGATATTGGCATTCCTAATGATAGTGCACGACGCCAGCGGCGAGTGCATTCACTTCCGTCATTGCACCGAGGGTACAATTACTCGTAGGAGGTCCGCTTCGGGGTTCGCGTACCGCGCGAAATATACCTGACGACAGCGCAGCCTTTCGCAATAAACGCGGACCGCCTAATCTGGTGAACATGGGGAAACGACGAGGCTTCGACCACGAATCGTATCTCCGATTTACTAATTAGCTTACGCGACTATCGATTAACCTCTGGCTCGCTTCGATATTCGAGCCCACGCGAAAATCGATGCTTTCTAGACGAGAATCGTTAACCTTTCATTAGTCCCAACGTCGTTGATGTTGGAAAATCCCGATTGCAGCAGGAAATCGAGTACGTAGGGCATTGCCTAATGCATACGGATTGCGATAAACGTATACAACGACATCGACAAAATCAAAGAACGATCGGTCGCATGTAATATTTATAATAAATGTATGTACGTAAAAAGTTTTTCATTTAACATAATAGCCTACCATTTGGTTCGCATCCTCGAGAAACGAGAAAGTTTGACAAGTATTGTAGACGGTAAGGCGATCTCCTGCTGGCCATAGCCGTGATCGCGATCTTGACATTCCGGACGGTTAACAACGTGCTCGGTAGCCGATGAACGATCTCTCGCTACGATCGTTAGCTGTTTCCAGTAAGGAACAAAGCAAGGACAAGTTTAAGGCTCTCCCACGCAGATGAAAGTTACCACGCTGGTTTGCTTGCGTTCATTAAGTCGATCGTGCGCGTTTTACGTAGAAGCGAATTAATAATTTTGTACTAGGCTACGTCGACCACATTCTTCGACCACTTTGGAGCATTCAGCTTCACCTCAAATTTTATTATATTTAATGAAAATATCGAAAAACTCTCGAGCGAGAAACTCGTATGATCCGATACGTGTCTCGTGAGTCGAAGATTCGATTATGGTATCTCGTGGATCATCCTCGATCGAACAGGTTTTGCAACCTATCGCAGACTCGAGCAGCCTTACGACGTACACCGTTAGATCGGTTTACTGACCAGCCTCAACCGACTATCGTGTCATAACGATCGCACTAGATGTCGGCCAGCCGCCTTTTAAGGTGCAGATCTTTTCAAGGTCGCGTTACCCTATAGAATTTCAATTGCTGACTCGCAGTTTAACGTCCGCCGATCTCTATTTACCGACGATGAACAGAACCGAAGCTGACCCACTTTGCGTAACTAACGTTACGTCAGGAACGGTGCCAACTCGTTGCTTTCAAGGGATTGAATTAGATTAGAGAAACCATTTTTCTCCTGACGTGAAGATATTATTGCATCCGACGAGAAAGCATCTTGCGTGATATTTATCAAACAGCGACATTGTCGTGATCACGGGAAATAAATAGACGTAAGGTATGAAAGGTCGTCGTGTTTTGGAAAAATAGGTCCCTTGCTCAACGAAACGAATCTTCGTTGCAAAAATAACGAGTCATTTCTATGAATCTTTATCCGACAGATCAACAATTTACGACCATCTTTTCACAGGAATTACAACAGTCGTTCTCCAGAGAGTTCTTCATTGAAATTCCACACGCACGGTACAACGCGATTCAGTTTTTACCGTCCGCCGAAAATAATCCCTCATGAATTAAATATCCTCGAAACAAGTTTGTACGCTACGATGCTGTACACTGTACAGCTCGATTCCTTTGTCCTGCATTGACCTGCGTTTGTTTTACCATTATCCTTAGCTTATACAATTTTTTAAAAAGAATTCACGATACGCTCGATTGCATCCGAACGACTTTTAAGTTGCAGGTATTTACATAGCATGTTGTTTTGCAAGTTTCTGCATTGTAACCGATTCGATTCAAAGTTACGTCGATTAAAATGAGGAAACGAGAAGATGGAAAGAAAATCTCAAAGTCGGATAGGAAGAGTCGACGGTAGGAATGGTTGGGCGAATCACGATTGGCCTCGAGGCAACAAGAAACTTCAATTCCTTTCCTCTCCAAAAAGGATCGTCCGGATTTTGCGGTTTTGATCTCGAATTTCGCGTGTTTCTTTCGTATCGTTCGAGCAGAGTGTCAAGAGACGGAAGGCCTTTCACTTTTTCCCCTTTTGCATCGTTGCGAAACCGTGAGAAATCTGTCACAAGTGCACAATTAATTACATCGTGTTTCCGAAGAATGATGCAAGTTCTCTAAAAATATTTCATGAAACATCTGGTGTACAGCAAGCAGCAAAGAGCAATACCGATGCGAACGAGATATTTCATAAACAACGATAAACGACAACAATATTTCCTTCCTACTTCGCATTGTACGCGAACAAACGACGTTCGTAACGATGTATAACGACAACAGCAATTAGTTAGCTTTCACGATCAGAAAATCGTCCTGCTATTCTTCCATAAATATATATTTTTAAACAACGTGGAGACGCTTCACCGGGTACACCACAGACCAGAGAGAAAAGACTGAAACGCACGACACCGGGGGACTTTCTACTGCTCGAATATCGGGCTGTCGGTATCAGGACGTTTGCCTTTTGAATATCATTTTGCGCCATTATTAATATGGATGTCGTTTAATGCGGATCAATGCTATTCGTAGGAAGTAAAAACACTTATTATTTTGTTTTCGCTTTTACTGTGCTTTATCTTACGACTGTATGTCGTATGTATTATTATTGTCATAATATTTTTTTATATCAATCATTTCATCGCTCTACATGACCTATCGTTACTCTCTTACGGATTTAGTCTATTTTATAACCAGACCGACAGTTTCTACTTCCATCCAAACCGAACAAGTAGGTATAATAGATCTGATATCGTTACAAAACGCTTCAGGCAATCCTCAATTATTCAAAGTTTTTTTCTTACCGCATTGAACGCATTCGCTTTCGATAGAGTAGCTGATCTTTGTTCATTATTATTACTAAACGGTAATGTCAGTTTTTTTTGTCCGATTGACTTTCAACGTGAAAAAGGAAAACGGTATAGCGCGCGAAAGAAAAAAAATTGCTTATTGGTCGTGTACACTTGTCCAATTAGAGAATATAAATAGAGAGCATTGACGGATACTATGAAAACTTGATAAGTTTCTATAACAACATTTCACCAAATTTTTGTATAGACTGTGTGATTCGCAGTTGTGACACCACTATTTATCACTTGGTTGGATGCCCTATAACTCGACGCCTGTCCACCATTCATTCGCGATAGAATCTACACCGAGGCGATTGATCCATAGGTCATCGATCCGCATGTGCCATTTACTCTGACGACATTTCGTAAAATGGTAAAAAGTAGCCGAGTGTAAAACAGAACACGCGAAATCGTCGTTGCATAAGTAATTCTTATCGTAATTAATTCCAGGACACCTTGCGAAATTCTTCAGTCTGCTTGAATCAATGGGTTCACGGGTCTCTCGATTTCGCGTCACCTCATGCGGAAACGTCGCGATTTACGTCACGATTGATGTCTTAGGTAAAACAGGATGCAAGATAACTTGAATAATTACAGATTAATAATCGTAGACCGTTATCAGCAAAAAACAGATGAAGGTGTCTCCGTCTGGTGATCGTGCACGCAAGCAGCGATAATCTGGGTCTCGAGTGGCCGGTTCTCCCGTTGTCGGTAAAATCGCTATCGAACAACGAAGATCTAGCTATCCGCGCTTCGGCTAGAAATAAACAAAATTGAATTCTAATGAAAAAGACAAGATTCGTGAATCGGCCCATAGGTGCTATTAGGTCCATAATTTGTTGTTCGTAAGAAACCTTGACTCTGCGATGGATATCTAGTTCGTCAAACCAGTGACTTGAATTTTGAAGAGAAACCAATCGATAGAATGGAACACAAGGTGGAAGGTATAGCACAACTTGTGTTTCGGAGACAAGTAGACAAAAACATCTAAAGAAGACGAATGGTGCGACAGACACGGAAATACACAGTAGCGTGAAAAGAGGAAATGCGATAAGCTGCTTGAATATTGCGAATGCAAACTTTCAACGATACGTTAACTCACGTTTCGGACGCAATTAAGAACGCACTTTAGCTACATGCAAGGTTAGCAGCATTCGCGGTGCAGCCGGTTTACAGCTAGTTTCAGGATATCGATACACATAGATACGATTCATAATTTTTAACCTAATTGACGTTGCGAAATTCATAATCGCAGTTAATTGCAGCTGAAAAGGTTGACAGAAACAGCTTCCTTTTTATGTTACAAATTTCCAATTTTTTTCAAATTCATAGCGAAAATAATGATCTGGTTTTTATCGAGATCATTAGCGCTGAACGATGCGAGCTCTCGCGTGCTACGAATATTCAATCAGAAATAAGAAACGAGAGACGATTTACGCGTGATTTGTTTCGATGAACTTATCTTTCGAATCTTGTCGCGACTAATTGACGCTCTATGTACAACAATCTCGAAACAATTATGACTTTTCGTATTTCAGCGCGTTTCTCGGTTCAGAAATAATTCCAAGTATTTGTATTACTAAAAAGGAAAAGGTAATCGTGTTATTCGTGCTACGAGGAAAACAAGCTGCAACGGGACCTGCAGAATTTATTATTTCACGTGCAAAAACGCCTCGGGGAAATTTCTTTTCTAACTGGTCCACGTAATCGTGACTTGGATGACTTTTTCTCGAGTCTTTGTTTTCGCTTATCCGACGTTATTATGCAAATTCCGACATAATCGAATTCCCAGGGAATGACTGACTTGGAATATACCATGATCCTTTTGAAAGGACTAAGCGTATAGTAACCAGCACTGGTTACAGGGAGAGGAACAGTAACGCGTGATACTTTCTCCGATGGGTTTGCGTTACAGCCCGTGCTATACGAAAATCCACCGTAGCTTATGAAATCAGTGATTTAAGGGGAACGCTATCCGCATGACTGAAAAGAGCTGACATATAAACATTTTTTCGGACGGAACAAAAGGTTTAGTATTCTCAACTTCTATGTAGCGTCTAACCGAATAGTTTGCGAGATCAAAGTTCAAACTACGAACTTCTACTTTCAGCTTTCAACTTGCAGCTTCCGACACTCGATTTCCGGGCTTCCACTTTCGCAATTCTTGAACACATTCGCGAAATGGCATATACATACATATGCAGAACGAGAGAAAGGTGAATGAAGAACTCGTGGCTGATCACCGAATCGAGAAAGAAACTTTTAATGCTGTCTTTCGTCATCTTGCAAAATTTCACCACGTCATCGACAGTGAATTCTAGATTAACATACAATCGCGAATATAACAGACTTAGCAACATCGCGTTCGACCTAGCATCGCAGTTGAAAGCGACTCCCGTGCAGAAAGATACTGGTAAAAACTGACTCAACCTACTTTTGTAATAACAACGACGAAAAGCCTTGGCCTGTTCGAGGTCAGTCGGGATAGAAACGAGGAACTTTTCTATTTCGTTGCTACTGCGCCTTCGACTCATCCAACCATCCCTCCTTATCCGATAGAACGTCGTCGATTATTTATTAAGGCGAAAAATGCACGATATTCATGTTCTTTGGGCGTGTTTCTTATTTATTTTCTCAGCTTGTCAATGGAAAAGAGGAGGAATCGCGAACACAACATTACTTGAGAAAGATAAACAGGTGTCCGCGTATGTCGCGAAGTGAAGACTACGCTGCGATACTTGCAATGATAATTTATTCTCTGCCTAAGAATGTTCGTTAGGAAAAAAATCAAATAATCTTGTAACAGAAGGTAGTCTTGTTTCTCAAGTACAACGTCGGTTACACGATTTATTGCATG